GTATATTTAATCAAATACATTTAATCACTCTTTTGTTACCATGCATTTTTGGAAAAAAAAACTTGCTGTAAATTTTAATTGAAATACATCGTATACAAAAGTAAGAAGTAAATCTTCACAGGAACTGAGCACTGGTGGCTCATGCCTGTAATCCTAGCTACTTAGGCGGCAAGAGATCAGGAGGATAAGTGTTCAAAAGCCAGCCTGGGCAAACAGTTCACAAGATCCTATCTTGGAAAAACCCAACACAAGGACTGGAGGTGTGGCTTAAGTAGAAGAGCATCTGCTTTGTAAGGGCAAAGCCCTGAGTTCAAATCCCAGCTCCATCAAAAAAACAAAAAGCAAAAAAACCTGACATTTGCTGGGCACTAGTGGCTCACACCTGTAATCCTAGCTACTCAAGAGGCAGAGATAAGAAGGATCATGATTTGAAACCAACATGGGCAAATAGTTTGAAAAACCCTATCTCGAAAAAAACCATCACAAAAAAGGGCTGGTAGAGTGGCTTAAGGTGTAAGCCCTGAGTTCAAACCCCAGCACCGCAAAAAAAAAAAAAAAAAAAAAAAAAAGAGAAAAAGAAGAAGGAAAAACCCAACACAAAACAGGGCTAGTGGATTGGCTCAAGTGGTATTGCACCTGTCTAGCAAGCAAGAAGCTCTGAGTTCAAACTCCAGTACCACCAAAAAAAAGCTTCACAAGGTGAATACTTCATATAACAACCACCTAATTCAATAAACAGAGAATTACCAGAACCCTAGAAGTTTCCTTGTCCCATTTCCAACATTCATTACACATCCTTTCTCAGTTCTTTCTTTCATTAAACTTTTTGAGACAGGGTCTTGCTAGGTAGATCCATCTGCCCCTAAAGTCATGATCCTCCTGCTTCAGCCTCCCAAGTGCAGAGATCACAGGTGTGCACCACCATGTCCAGCTCCCTGCTTCAATACTAACAAAATCTTTTTTAACAAACTTTTTGAGGAATGATAATGTTCTCTTTTAAGGCTCCATTCTTTTTCTCAACATAATGACTGAGACTTATAGAAGATATTGAACAGCTGCAGTTCATTTGTTTGCTCTGCTCTGCAGTAGTTCATGTTTATTCTACTGCTGATGGTCACTGAGTTGTTTCAAGGTTTGGGCTATTACCAAATAATGCTGTTATGAACATCTTCATACATGTCTTTTGGTTAAAAAAAATACAGCATTTATATCCTCCAATTTTTAACACTTTTGCAATGTGTTTATTATTTTACATGTCTGCTTGCCACACTGTACTGTGAATTCCTGGAGGAGATTTGTAATCTCAGTGTTAAGTACACCATTTGGTATACAGTCAGAGTTAAGGAAGCGCTGGTAAAAGAAGGCAAATATAAAAGAATCCTTTAAAAAAGACAAGGTGTATTCCTTTATGTTTCTTAAAATCCATAAATGTATTATTTTATCTTTCTGAGACTGTACATAAAAATGGATCCATTTTTAATTAAACTTTCTCTAGAAATACATAATCAAGAATAGTTCACATTAGGTGTTGTACTGGAAATACTGAAAGACACTAATGGCTCATGAGATACTACATTTTAGGTAGAATTGCAGATTGATATAATTGGAAGGCACCTTGGGAACTACAGCAATCTATCAAATCCACTAATATATTCTAGTAGGAATTACCACATTTAAACCAGCAGAGCTATACAAAAAAAGCTATTTTTTTTTTTTCGTAGAGTCCCCATGTTGCCAAGGCTGACCTTGAACTCCTGGGTTCAAGCAGTCCGCCTACCTGAACTGCCCCAGAAGCTGGAACTATAAGTGTGAATCACCACATGCCTTGCTTTTTAAAAATTCCTAAATTAACTTCTTTAATACATAAAAACATAAATTATACATATTTATGAAGTATCATGGGATTTTTATACATTGAGTAATGTTTAAGCCAGATTAAAGATATCTATCTCTGTAAACATTTATCATTTCTTCAGAGAGAACATCAAACTTTTTGAAATATACAGTGATGACAGTTCTCTAGTCATTCTGCATAATATCACACCTGAACTTCTTACTCTTGAGTAACTCTTAGTACCCATTAATCACTCAACCCTCCCCAGTCTCTCCTCCTCACCCCACTGTTCTACTTTTGCTTTTTTTTTTGGTAGCACTGGGGTTTGAACTCAGAGCCTCACATTTGCTAGGCAAGCACTCTTACCACTTGAGCCACTCAGCCAGTCCTTGTTTTTTTCTAGAGAGGGTCTCCTGGAAGTATTTGCCCCAGCCTGGCTTTGAACCTTGATCCTCCTGATCTCTGCCTCCTGAGTTAAGATTACAGACATGAGCCACTGGCACCCAGCTCCACTTTTGAATTCTGACACCAACTTTTTACAATCCATTTATGAATAAGCTCATGAGTTACTTAGCTTTCTCTCTTTTTTTTTTTTGTGGTACTAGGACTTGAACTCAAGGCCTACACCTTGAGCCACTCCACCAGCCCTTTTTTGTGATGGATTTTTTTGAGATAGGGTCTCATGAACTATTTGTCTAGGGTGACTTCGAACTTCGATTCTGTTAGGTCGACGCTGATGGGAAGGCCAAATTGGAGCCAAATAACAAAGCAAGCAGGCTTTAAGCAGGCTTTATTGAGAGCGTGCTCTCGGCGAGGTTCACCGTCCCCAAAGAGCAGGGCCGGAGAAGTCAGCTGGAGAAATGACAGCCCAGTTTTTATATCCTGGGTGAAGTCAAGAGCTTAAGGTATTATGGGGCATCCGGATAGGTCGAGGTTTGGTGGGGAGGATCTCGGGGTAATATGGGTCAGGACCCATTGCCTGCCAGCAGGAGTTGCCATGGTAATCGTGAAGGGAAGGAGGGATGGAGTGGAAAGTGAGCAGAGAGTCCCTGATCACCATGGGGTGGCTGCCCACCGGCCAAACAGATTCTCCTAATCTTTGTCTCCTGAGTAACTAGAGTGACAGGTCTGAGCCACTGGCACTGGACTATACCACATTTTTTAAATGCGTTCATTAGTTGGTGGACACCTAGATTGGTTTTCACTTCTTAGCAAAAAAACTACTTTTTAATTTTATTATTTTTTTTTAGCCCGCTCCAAAAGCTACTTTTTAAATCTTTTACTTAAATAATCTCAATTTGCTTTGTCCTTTTTCTCCATAACTAGAAATCCATATAACCAGCAAATGGAAATTGCAGTCCCTGGAAAAAAATGCACAGTCATCATTACCTGAAGATCAACACAACCAGGAAGGTAGCTTGTTGTCAAAATAATGTCTTAAATTAGAAAGTAAACATCCCAAATCTAAAAAAACATGCATGACTGAGAGGTATAACAAAAGAGCAAAAAAAAAAAAAAAAAAAGGGGAAGCAATCTATACTAAACACATAAAGCCCTCTGAGTTTGAGCAAATTAGAAAAGTTGGATCTTCCTTTGATGTGCTGGAAAAAAACTAATATAAAGGAGGAATGTTTTGGATTGACTGACTCTCAATCCAATTGCCTGGTTCGGCTGCTTACTAAATTGTGGGACCTTGGGCAAATCGGTTAATCCAAATTAGTTCATATAAATCTCGATTTCCTCATTGGAAACACTCAACAGTGTTTTTAGAATATAGCATATGCATGCCAAGTACCAGATACTCAGTAAATGGGGGTCTTTATTCCCCCAAAGGCCTTCTTTGCATTCATACGAGTGACTTCAAAGTCAGTAAACAACACGAGCAAGAAATTAAATCCCACTTCTCCGACCCAAGGTCACTCGCGCCAGTACACCTCTCAAAGATACCACTGAGTATCTCTTTTGCTGGAAGCGGATATGGCATTTCCAAGGATCACAAGGACCAGGGGGATTGAGGCATTTCCGCCAACACCGGGCACGTGGGCGGGAACAAGAAGCCCGACCGGAACAGGGTGGAGAACAAGGGAGTTGTCCGGAAGCTGCGGGGAGGGAGGACTACATTTCCCACAAGCCCGCGGGGCCGGGAGTCGGGGACATTACTGGACAGGCCTTGCCCCGCAGTACCAAGGTAAATATCTGCTCCGTTGCTCTAAGGGAGGAGTAGTTTACGGTCCTCAACTAAATTTCTACTATTAGCTCTCCTAACCCATCCTGAACTGACAAAAACGCTCCGACCCGGCGACTTTTGAGATTTCCGGGCCGTAGAACTCCACCCCTTCCACCAGGAACTCCCCGCCTCCCGCGGCTTGGGGGCGTCTGCTAAATGCCCAAGGCTTGTGCTAGTGGGGCGAAGGCCCGGGGCGGGGGGTCACCTTCTTTTAGGACGGACGAGCCACGCAGGTTTCTCATTGCCCTCCCCCCATGCCTAATTATTAAATCAGGCTGGAGGAGTCTGTGCCGGCTCCCTGGCGCTTGAAGAAATGGGTAGTGTCCTCCCTCCAGGCCCAATGAATAGCAGGCGACCTCGCCTCTTTGCTTGCTGATCAGGCGTCTTTAGCTTGGGGCGGCGAAAGCTATCAAAGACCTGCGAGCCGAGCGCTTCCGAGCACCTTCATCTTCATCCTTTCCTGTACCTTTAGAGGGGTACAGTGATCCTGCTGGAAAGCCTAAGCGACCTGCGCTAGGTCTCAGAACTTAAACTGGCAGAGCTGTCGGGATCTAAAGCCCTTTGCTTATAATCCACTACTCTCTCCAAACCTTAGCCTGGGAGAGGGCAGGGCTGGGGACCGCGCAGTCTGCAGTCGTTTTCCCCGCGGTGCCCAGGCACCAAAACTCAGCCGCGTCCCCAGCGCGCTCCTGCTGTCTGGTGTCGCGGGCGGGCGCGGACATGCTGTTGAAGCTGTGGTCTCCCCGCGCTTGAACAAAAACAAGCACTGAGCGCTCCCCAGACGGATCTGGGTCGGTGGCCCCTTGGACAGCAGCTGCTTCTTTCCCTACTCCCAGGCCCTTTTCTGCGGACGCTCGGGCAACACGCGTCACCCGGAGTGGGTGGGTGGGGTTTGCAGCACCGCCGCGGCAGCGAGTGGGTTCCGGGGTGACTCCGGGGCGGGGCTGCGAGGGGCTACAGACGGACCGACGAACTCCGCGGGAATGGGGGGTGTGGCTGCTTGGCCAGCGTCCTGTGGGTGGGAGAGCGGCTCGGCGACCACCGGTGGCCAGACCCCCGCCGCTTTCTGCTAGAGATGCTCTTCCTCTCGGTGAGAAGTTTTTCTGTTGTCGCCGGCTGGGTTCTCGGCCTTTAATCACGCCCCCGGGAGAAGGAAGGAGACCGGCCCTCTCGGTCGCTGTGGCCTGGATAGGGCAGGGCAAAGGGAGCTGACCAGCTGCGCGGCCGGGCCTCCTCCCTTTGGGGCATGTTGATCCGCCGCTGTGCTCCATGTTCTAGTTTCATGCAGGCTCCTGGGAAAGCTGGTGCTGCTGCTGCCTGATTCCCGCCGACAGACCTTGGGACCGGGGCCGGCGCTGGCAGCTGGAGATGGCGGACACCAGATCCGTGCACGAAACCAGGTTTGAGGCGGCCGTGAAGGTGATCCAGAGTTTGCCGAAAAATGGTACGTGCACTGCCCGCCCTGAAGGAGCTCTCTGCGGAGGCCCGAGGCTCCAGTTTCTAGTCCAGCTTATTTAGCCTACTTTTTTTTTTTTTTTTTGAAATGTGTTGTAAAGGAACGTAATTGAAGGGGAGGTATTAAATGTGAATCAGGTACCAGCAGATCTTTCACCGGAGTCATCCGAATATATTATCCAAATTTTAAGTAGTTTGTATTGTTGACAGCAAATCTTCTCACTTAAAAATGACTGAACTTTAGTGTGTGTTTAAAAATAAGGCATGGATTTGCCTGATGCTGCATATTCAGTCTACAACTCAAATCTTTTCTAAACTTTTGATAGGAAGGAAGGAAAAAGAAAGACCAGCTATATCCATTTGTAAAACGATTTGTTTTTTAAAATCTTAATAAATACATATTTACTACTTTTTTGCTGTTACTCCATTGTACTAGTGTTCACTTTTTAAAATTCTTATATTGGATCTTCGCAGCTTAGGAGAAAAGTCAGAGTTGTTCTCTCATATTTAATGTGCCATTTCTCTGGATGTTTTCAAAATTTTTATCTTTGGTTTTCAGTAATTTGACTATTATATGTCCAGGAGTGGTTTTCTTCAAATTTGTCCTGTTTACGGTTTGCAGAGCATTTTGTATTTGTAATTTTGTTTGATCAGTCTGATCAGTCTGATGAGAAGTTTTCAGCCATTATTTAATTTTCTTTTTTTTCTTAGTTGAGAAGCTTGGAAAGAGAGAGTTTTACTTTTCAATTCACATCCTTTTACATTATGTGATTGATTTTTTACAATAAACTATACTTAAAAAATGCTTTTAAAAAGAAAATTAAACCTTTTAAAAAATGCTTTTAAGCGCTATTATACCAGAATAGTAAAACTAACAAAATATCCCAATATGCTACTATAATATTTAATATACCCTAGGTTTTCATTAATCATCATTTCATGAGGTAATGAATATTCAATACCAGTCACTCCAAAAAAAATTCATGAAGTGCAGATTCAGAAAGTTTGAAAACAATGGTAATGTACTTAGTATGCTTGAGGCCCTGGGATCACTTTCCAGCGCCTCCCCCCAAAAAGAGTTGAAAACGAATATATCCCAAATAGTTCCTTCTGTAATTTCAAACAGTTTTAAAAGATAAGAATAAACAAATTGTAAACAGCCAGAAGAGGTGGCTCACGCCTATAATCTTAGCTACTCAAGAGGCCGAGATCAGGAAGCAGAGATCATGGTTTCCAACTAGCATTGGGCAAATAGTTTGCAAGACCCTATCTTGAAAAAAAAAACCATTACAAAACAGGTGATTCAATGTGTAGGCCCTGAGTTCAAACCCCACTATGGCAAAAAAACAAAAACAAAAAAGTAAACAAATAACATAGGAACTTATTTAAGTCTTGATTTTTTAAAAATGATTGTTTATAGAAAGGTACAATAAGTACATTCACTTTTCTAAATCATGCATTTTATAGATTTTTTTGAAGATTGACAAAGCTAGACTTGATGTTTCCAACCTACTTTTTAAAAATTGTATTTATTGAGAAACCCATGTAAATTTAAAATAATTTATAGTTACATAAAACTTAAGAAGGCATTGCAAGCCTGGCATGATGGTGTCTATAATTCCAGAACCTGGGAGGCTGAGGCAGGAGGATGGAAACTTTCAGGTCAGCCTGTACTATATAGTGAGAAACTGTCTCACCTAAAACAGAAGAAAACAAAAAAAAGGAAATACTTGCAAAATTAAGATAACCTGTCACATGGCATTTTTGGGGGCTGAGGATATAGCTAAATGGTAGGTTGCTTGTTTGATCCTCAGCACTGCAAAAAATGGGGGCATGGTCTGGGGATTGTAGCTCAGTAGCAAAGTAGGTGCTTAGCATACACGAGACCCTGGGTCCTATCCCCAGAAAAAAAACCCTGCAAAACATTCAGTTGAACAACATTCAGTATACTATTATTCCCCCAAAACTAAATTGATATTAGCTGAACCACAGTTTGCTATAGTGAATTACTAAATATTTTTAGAATACTATTTTTTAAATTGCTTGGTCTACCCTGAATTATTTTGGAAAGAGTAAGATTTTGGAGTTTTTTAATTCATTATTGCCTAATCACTATTTAAGGTCTAAGGTAATAATGAATCTGTGTTTGATATGGCTGTAGCCTTTAGAAATATAAATTCTTAGTATTTCACACACATATATTAAATACTACTTTGAGGACAGCTCGTGCTTTATCTAATATTTTTATACACATATTCAATAAATGTTCTCAGTTTTTAAAAATACAACGTACATATCAATCACCTAAACCAATAAACTTTTAAATCTTATTTGGTTGACCTACTGAAGATATTATGAGATGACGTTTTTGAATTTTTAAATTTAAACTTGTGGTTTTTTGTTTTGTTGGGACTGGGGTTTTGAACTCAGGGCTTCTGGCTTGCAAAGCAGGTGCTCTACTACTTGAGCCATGCCTCTAGTCCATTTTGCTCTGGTTATTTTGGAGATGGGATCTCTCAAACTACTTGCCTGGGTTAGCTTCGAACCTTGATCCTCCTGACCTCAGCCTCCCAAGTAGCTAGGATTAGATTTGAGTTAGTTTTTGGTAACCATTCTTCACTGTGCTTTCTGTTTCGCCCTCTGCTATATAAAGAACAACTGTATCACTGAAATGCTGTAGTTAACAAGACACTCCTAAATGTGCATGTATTATATAGATAATTATTATTGTGATCTTGGAATTAATTATTCACTCTTTGCTAAACCTGAAACACCAGCTCTCAGCTTGTCTGTGTTGTAATTTCCACAGCTTTTGTAAACTACTAGTTTTTGATTACTACATGTTAACTGTTCAATATGCATTCTTGAGGCATGGTCTTGCTATATTGCCCAGGCTGGTCTAAAACTCATGACCCTACTGCCTCAGCCTCCAAAGTGCTGGATTATAGGTATGTACCAGGATGCGCGGTTTCTATCGAGTTTTTAAAATTTCTTTTTATGGTTTTAATTTTTAAAATAATTTTTGTTTTAAAAAAATAATCTGTGTTCCTGTGATTGAGAAATAGTGCCTTTCAACATTTTGATATATATCCTATAGTACTTTTTATGTATATAGACACTTGTTTTCCAAAAATAGATCATCTTGTGAGGGATTTTTTGGGGGGAGGGGTGGGGATGTTGGTGCTGGGGTTTAAACTCAGGGCTTCATGCTTGTGAAGCAGGGGCTCTTACCACCTTCAGCCCAAGATCATACCATTTATGCTGGCAGCATGGGATTTGAACCCAGGGCCTTTTACCTGCTGGACTTGCTAGGCACTCACTTTTCCCACTTGACCCACTCCACCAGCCTGTTTTTGTGTTGGATATTTTCGATTTAGGATCTCTGTAACTATTTGCCTGGGTTGGACTGAACTGCAGTCCTCCTGTACTCTGCCTCTCCAACAGCTAGGATTATAGGTGTAAGCTACAGGTGCCCTGCTCTACATTTTATTTATTTATATATTGTTGTACTAGGGGTGCATTGTGACATTTACAAAAGTTCTTATATCATAGTTGAATTCACCCTCTCCACCAGTTCTACATTTTAATATACTTGTTTTTTGTGACATTTGCTAGTTATTTTGGTTACATGTATAGCATTTTTTTCCATTTGTTTATTGAACTGTGTTTGGCTTTTGTTATTAAAGTTTAAAATTTCAGAGTTTTTTTTAAATTAGAGAAATAAATGGATTAACTTTTGTTTCTTGGGCAGAAAGAAATTGTCTGAACTATTAACAAAGTATAAAAATCTCTAGTAGTATAGTATCACTAAGCTAATAAGTAACTTTAGGTTGTCAGTTGTATTCCTCAAATGATCTATATTTAATGTGTGTTTCCAACAGGATCATTCCAGCCCACAAATGAAATGATGCTCAAGTTTTATAGCTTCTATAAACAGGCAACTGAAGGGCCCTGTAAACTTTCAAGGCCCGGATTTTGGGATCCTATTGGAAGATATAAATGGTAATTTTACTGTAGACTTATGAAAGATTTTTCATTTTAATGACATAATTATCATACAGTTGTTATTTATATGGTTATTTGTTATTATAAAGTGTTTTATGTTCTACATACAGTTTTTATCCTTCAGGTGCCCTTAATAAAATTTTATGCAAATAGGAAAGTCTTGGGGAAGACAGTAAAATCAAGAGGGGGGTAGGTGCATCAAAGATTTAAATCATGTTTAGTTAATCATTTTCTGGAGTTTCCTTTTTTTTTTTTGACATGTAGAGCAACTGTTAAACTAAGAAAACAAACTATCTGCCTTTTTTTAGTTGCCAAAAAACAAAATGACTTTTGCTCCTTAATAGACATTGTTTGTTTTGAGCCATTAAACTAATATATGACTAGGAATGTGACTCAGGTACTGCCACATTAACTTTTATCTAAGCTGTTACTTCTGTCTGGCCTACTGTGCTTGAATAGAAATTCAGTTTTTAGAAGACTCAAAACAGCCATAAACTATTGATATTTCTACCACTTTCCCAGTTGACTAACATTTGATATTCTGTTTTTTGTTTTTTTTGCAGTCACTGGGTTTTGAACTCAGGCAACATTTAATATTCTTGAGTACTGTTGCAGACTTTATGATAAAATGATAAAAGACCATTTTAGACAACTTTATCAACAGAGTATGCTAATGAGTGCAGCATATTTAAATGCTAAATTTCTTCAACCTGAATTTCTCTGTAAGATCCTTCAACGTGTTTTTCTGTAAGATCTTTAAGAATGGGCATAAAGTGATAGGTCAGATGGTCAAATGAAATAATGTTATTTACTGTGCTTTAAGAAAATTTACCTGTCTGCTTCACAGATAAGTAAAAAGGAAATTCTGTTTTCCCTAGACTTAACTTTTGACATAGTTAACTTCCTTCTGGAAAAACTGTATAAAGGTTTTCATGTTTGGCAAAAATTGAAAGTTTAAATAGAACTATTCTTATTATATAGGGACTTAATATTTCCTGCCCTTCAAATTTAAAAAAAAAAAAGTGGGAACCCATTTTCATTTTTAGTTTGAGTAAACAAAGAAGAATCTTATTTAAAATAATGGAAACTTTTTTGGGGCAGTACTGGTATTTGAACTCAGGGCCTTGAGCTTGCTAGGTAAATGCTCTACCTTTTGAGACATGCCTCCAGCCCTTTTTGCTTTAGTTATTTTTCAGAAAGGATATCCTATTTTTGCATGGGGCTAGCCTAGGACCACAGTCATCCTACATCTGCCTTCCATGTACTAGAGATTACAGGTGTGCACTTGCACACCTAGCTTGTTTTTTAATGCATTCATACATTTATGTATTTACTCATTTAATAGATATTTCTTTTTAAATATTTCTTTTTTTGCGTGTGGTACTAGGATGTGAACTCAGGGTCTTGCACTTGCTAGGCAAGTGTCCTACCCCTTGAGCCATGCCTCCAGCCAAACTCCTTTTTTTGAGTTAGGGTTCCACTAACTTTTTTGCCGGGACTTGCCTTGAACCTAGATCGTCCCATCTCTGTCTTCTGCATAGCTGGGATTACAGATGTGAGCCACCACACCCAGCCTAATGGAAACTTTTAACTAAAATATCTATTCATTTAAATCATGGTTATTGACAGTTAACATATTCTTCTAAACTGCTCACTTCTATTGCTGTTCTTTATAGTTATAAAAATTTTTAAAGAGTTCTTAGGAAACATTTATAGATAGATTATAGTCACTGTGGTCTGATAATACATGAATGGATTAGATACTTGTTGTTTTAAAATGCTACTTCATTTGCCAGTTTATTTGCTCAGATAGTTTAAAGTGACATTTATTAAAGAGATTCTTCACAAACCTAATATAATTTAAAGTAGAACTTATATTAAATTAACAAGTCTATGCATCTTCTATAACATGTATTCTGTGCAAGTGAAAATCAGTTTTCTCCATTATTTTTATATTTTCATTTCTAGGGATGCCTGGAGTTCACTGGGTGATATGACCAAAGAAGAAGCCATGATTGCATATGTTGAAGAAATGAAAAAGGTAGGGAAAGTAATTCATATTTGAATAAAAATATTCAAAGCAGCTCTAATTTACTTTTTAACTTTTTTTATGTGTGTATGCTGGGAATTGAACCCATGGCCTCATGCATGCTAGTCAGCCACTTTATCATTGAGCTACATCTCCAGCCCCTCTAATTTACTTTTATTATGCAAATGAGTTTAAACCTTAATACAACAACAACAACAAACCTTACTCAGGAGAATGGGAATAACCAGACCTGCCTTAAAAGCATTTCTGCTTTGGAATGTTTTAATTAGGATAAGTGATTAATAAACCTGTGTAATAATGTTCTCTTACAAGTTTTTTTTTTTTTTCTTCGATGAGACTGGGATTTGAACTGAGGGCTTCGTGCTTGCAAAGCAGGTGCTTTACCTCCTGAGCCATCCCTCTAATCCTCTTACAAGTTTTGACTCATATATTGAGATATTCCCATCAGTTGATTTCTTAGTAGTAAGTATTTTTTTGTCAATGGATTGATTCTTCCAAAGTAGAGTAAGGTTGCCTTTAGCTTCTGTGCTAACTACTAAAGAAGGACATTCCTTGTTAACCAGCTTTTTAAAATATATCTAAGGAATCATTTTGAGGAACAAATTTATGAAGAAATCATGGATTTTATTTTATTTTTAGTTTTTGGTAGGACTGGGCTTTGGACTAAGGGCTTTGCACTTGCAAAGGAGGAATCTACCGCTTGAGCCACATCTTCAGTCCATTTTGCTTTGGTTATTTTGGAGAGGAGGTCTTGCAAATTATTTGCCTGGACTGGCCTGGTTCCAAGATCCTCCCACTCTTATTAACTTCTCAAGTATCCAGGATTATAGGTGCCTGGCCAAATTTATGGATTTCAAAATGATTTTAGAGAATTTTTTTTTTAAATAAAGGGCCACTTTTCTATGAAATGTAATTCTGCTTAATATTCTAGAAATTATCTTTTTTCTTGGTGGTACTGGGCTTTGAACTCAGGGCCTTGTGTTTGCCAGACATGCATCTACCAGTTGAGCTACACCCCCCAGCCCAAGAAATTGTCTTTGAACATAAAGAAAATTTGTAAGAAAGAAATAAGTTTTTTGGCTTGATGGTATTAATCTCTGTAGTAATTTCAATTAGGTATATTCAGACCAATATTTTTCTGTTTTCTGATTTCCTTCCTTCTCTCTCTTTTTCTTTCTCTCTTTTCTCTCTCTTTCTTTCTTTCTTTCATCAGAAACAAAATCTATTGTAGATTTATGTTTTTTTACGGAACCAGGGTTTTGAACTCAGAGCTTCGTGCTTGTAAAGTGGCTCTACCACTTGAGGCACACCTACAGTCCTGTAAATTTTTACTTAAATATAAGTACTTCGACTGTTATATTTTAAAATTTTCTGGGAATGTTAAGAAATCACTTGTAAGATACCCTCCCATAAGTTCTTTCAGTGGCATGAAGATGTTAATTATTTTTATGTATGAGCTTCAAAACACTCTCAGTTTTGAGAAACATTTTAAAACCACCTGCTTTGCCTCTAAGTAATCTGGAGCTCCATGTGGTCCCTTTTCGTATGTTTGGTCAGATGTATAAAGAACTCTTTAAAAGATTCTGGAAAGACTGTTGCTCCTCTGGATTAATCGTCTCATTAAGAGGAAAACTCAAACTTTTTTTCAGCTTTTTTTTTTGGTGGGATTGGGCTTTGAACTCAGAGTTTAGCACTTGCAAAGCAGGCTCTGTACTGCTTGAGCCACACTTCTAGTCCATTTTGCCCTGGTTATTTTGGAGATGGGGATCTTGTGAACTGTTTGCCTTGGCTGGCCTTCAACCTCGATACTCCTGATATCAGCCTCCCAAGTAGCTAGGATTACACACATGAACCACCTGCAGCGTTCTTTTCTCTCTTTGGTATAGGTTCAGCAAACCCTTGCCACAAAGGTGCCAGAAAATAATCACTACGCAAACACAGTGTGGGTTTCTTGATTATCAATAGTGGTAATTCTTAGCTGTTCATAAATTAAGGAATGATTTTTCTTGACAGGGAAACTTGTAGCTATTGTCAAGAGATGAAATGTAAATCACTTCTTAGTTTGGTAATGTTTGTGGTTTCTACTCATTCCTTGCTTCAAAATGTCTTTTCTAGACCTGAAGAAGTAAGGGAGTAAAGTCTGCATAGCACTGGTGAAAGACAGATCGTGGGTGCACAGCACAGTTCATATCAGAGATTTTTCATTTGGCTTCCACAATGGAAGCTGCAGCTTCTACAGTGTATTTACTTAAATTGAGGCCATTAAAATCATGGGACAAGGAGTTTCTCTGTTGTTGTTAATGGTTAGTTTCTTGACAAAGGCAGTGGTTTTTTTCAAACTCAAGTCTAAGAGGCTAAAGAAACTTTCCTCTGGTTGGTTATCTGGACTAAGTGTTTTTTGCTCTGAAGTTACTTTCTTAAGTGATACTGTTCCCAAGTTTCCTGATGAAGCCTAAGGGATGCTTTACCTGTTCTGGCTTTTGTCTCCTTCTCTTTATGTTTCTTTTTTCTTCTTCCTTTTTTCTTTAATTCTTCCTCTGCCTTCATCTTTACTTGTTTTTCCTTGTCTTTCTTTCTTTCTTTATTTTCATACAGTTTTTTCTTTTTGTCTTCAGGGACCTTCCTGTTCATCTTTGGTTTCTTCTTGCTACTTACTAGCCGCTTTTCACTGTGGTCTTTTCTCCTATATTTGCTGAATTCTTAGTGCTCAGCTGGCCTTATGTAACTCAGGACAATCTTGAGCCTATTGTCCACAATAGCCTCAGGTTACCCAGCACCAACTCCAAGACTTGCTTTGGCCTGGCTTCTCTCCCCTTCTGTCCTCTCTTCTCCTCTTCCCTTCCCCCTTGTTATTTCCCTTTCTAATCTCTTCTGCACTGCTCAAAATTGTACTCTTTGTTACATTTCACAATTTTTACTTAGTGGACTTTAAAACAGAGGGCAGAGATTAATTCTTTTGGCTATTAACTATATCTGTAACACAGAAACAAAGGAGTCTTTGAAAAGCAGAGAAAGAATCCAAAGCCTTTTTGGTTTGATAACTATCCTTTTATATTAATTTTAGGATATACTTCTATATTATAGAATTGAATTCCCACAGTAAAAGTAAAATTTACTAATTTTTTCTATCCAGTTTTATTAATTATTGGTATAACCACAATTTAAAGTGAGAAGGGGATGAAATAATATTCCCTCAAACTAATTAAAAGTAAACTGCTGCCTCTTAGCTGTCTTGAAATACTTCTTTTGTCTATGAATTTCTGTAACTATTTCTCTAAAAGAATATACTGCCTGTATTCATTTAGACTTTTAAACTTTCACTTTGTATTGTGAATATAACACAATTTATAGTAAACTTTTAGTGTTAAATTAAAAACATTAAGATAGGCTTAGATTAAAAATTTGATTACTCCTTTTATTTATTTTCAGAGTTTAGCTTTATTGATATCAATAGATAAAACTGCATATTTCTGAATAATCTTTTGTAATAGAATATTATCCCACAGATTTGATTACTGAATTTGGGACTTTTCTCTGTTTGTAATTACTTACTAACTGAAGTAGTCTTTAAATTGTGTTTTTAGCTGGGCATGGTGGTACACATCTGTAAGCTGAGCTTCTCAAGAGGCAAGAAGATCTTAAGTTCTAGGACAGCCTGAGCAATGTTACCAAGAGTCTATCTCAAAAAGACAAAATAGGACTAGTGGTGTGGCTCAAGTGGTAGAGTACCCTCCTAGCAAGCACAAAGCCATGAGTTCAAACCTCAATCAAAACAACAACAAAAAACCAAAATGAAAAAACAGTGGCTGAGGATATAGCTCAAAGTGGTAGAAAGCTTGCTTAGCAAGAGTGAGACCCTGGATTTAATCCCCAGTACTGAAAAAAAATGCTTAAATAAAGTTCACAAATCACTGTGCTATTGCTCTTTAGAATTTTTTTTTTTGAGACAGAGTCTTACTATGTAGCTCAGGTTGTCCTCAAACTTTTAATGATCCTGTGTCTGTCTCCTCAGTGCTGAGATTGCAGGTTTATACCACCACGCTCAGGTAGAATTAACCTCATTTCATGTCTTTATATTAAAGGGTTTCAAAAAATGTTGATTTAATTTGTATTTTATAATGGGTACTGTTTGGTAGAAAATTGCCTTTCATAGTTATAAATTGTTCAATTAAAATAACACTGAAAAAGTTGCTGGAATCAGTTCTTTTAGTTTTGAGGAATTAGGGAAGCTAATGTGGTTTTGCGGGGAGAGAAATCTATGCTTCTTTGAATAAGTTTATTTTGATCCATAATCACGGGAAAAGTATAAAATCCTACTTTTTGCACAAATTTTACAGGCCATCTTATAGAGCTTTCCAGCGTATTCAGCCAGCCCTAGAATAATGTGTATGTGGATTACGTCTGTAGAATTGAAGGAAAGATCAATGTACTCAAACCTGGCTGCACATTAGAATCCCTAGTAGAAATGCCCTAGAATGCCCCCAAACCAATTACTGCAGAATTTCTTCAGAGGATGGGATAATCACTGTAATAGAGGAAAGGATTAGAGAATAGAATCTTTAAATTATAGTGGATGAGGGTCAAGTCTACAACTCTACAAGTTTAGAACAATCTCTGAGTATTGAGAGATTTAAGGTTTTACTCATGATAACCTTCTTTTGGAAAGTGAGGGGAAAATCAGAATGTCAATTTCTTTCCTACTTTTTTTTTTTTTGGTGGTACTTGGATTTGAACTCAGGGTTTCACACTTTTTAGGTAGGCACTGTACCACTTGAGCTACTCAGTGGTAGCTCAGATTCTTAATGTGTGTAAGAGACTTTTCTAGTGATCAGTATAGTTGGGATTAATATCTAGGATCCTCTTTAGAAGGTCAGGAGCCACTTGGGAGACTGAATCAGTGGTTACTAAGATTTTTGAACAGTGTGTAGAATATTGGATTTTTTTTTTTTTTTTGGAGGAGGTAACTGGAAATTGAACACAGGGCTATGGCCTTGCTAAATAAGCACTCTTATCACTTGAATTATGCCCCTCGCCTGAGTAATAGGATTTGGATGGCTTGAAAAGATGTGTTCTTTCATATCTTTTCACATCTAGACAAAAACAGCCAAAAAACCTGAGTAATTTAGTCTTTGCTTAAATAGAGCATATCTGAATCTTTTCAGTATCTAAAAATGACGTTTCTCACTGAGGATAAGTGCTGGATAAACTTAGAAAAATTTCTGTGCTATGCTGTTTTTCTAAAGCTTGCACCACTTCCCAAATATTTCTGTTAAGACATTCTTTGTTTTTGGTTCAAATCTGAGTCACAATACGAAAATAAATTTTAAAAATTCTTCATTTGGTTAGTTTATAATATACAAAATTAATTTAATTAAGTTAAATCTTCAGAATAAATAGTAGTACCTGGGCTGAGACTAGCTTGTGTCTGCTTCTCTCTCTGTAGGTATGTCTTTCCATCCCTGGCTCTTGTTTTTATCTCATGCACATGTGTACATACATGTTCCATTTCTTATGTTTCATGGTTGGTATTGGGGAGAGAATTTACAAATGGCTAAAATGATTCTTCTCGGTTGTTGCATTTTTAAAATTTTTTCTTCAGAGATTTACCTCTTAAATTCTTGCTGTGGCCACTTGTGTCCTGACTATTTGGACTACTAAAATTCTAGTCCAAATTCTGATTGAAAGACTGTGTATTTATATTTATTTAGTACTAGTATCTGTTCCATTTATTTAGTTCTGACATTTCTAGTCTATAATTCACACTCTTACCTTATGAGATATAAGAAACCCAAACACTACATTCAGTAGCCCTACTTAAAATAAATTTGAGAGCAGTTTGAGAAATAAGCTTTAATCAAGAGATAACTAAAAGAGATCTGTTTTGAAGGAGGACAAAAAGAAGTGTTTAATTAGGGTCAGAGTAGGATATGTAGTTGCCTTGCCTGATTCTGCTAAGTCAGTCTTCAAGTTATGACAGTGTGGTGAAGTGTATGGTGCTGAATTATGTTTGAATTATCTTTACCATTTATTAGTTGTGACTTTGTTCACATCAAAGTAAACATCCCATGTTTTAACTTTTGACCTGAATCTAATTCTCACAATTATTGTTATAATCCAAATATTCTGTAAACTAGGTATCTATCAGTTATAAAGATAACCTCCCATGGCCCTAGCCTAATAACAAGTATTTCTTTTAGCAAAAAGAAATTTTATGGGACGAAAGCATTCTCTTCACTCCTATCTATTCAGCAGCAATTAGATAGCTTGCTATGAGCTATAACTTTAAAGTCAGTTATTGTTGACATAGTTCATTCTGCATAAGTCATTTTTAACAACTTTCTCACCACATGAATACACACTGTGAATGATAGTGGTGTAGGGTATCTCAGCTTAGAATCATATCATGCTCTTTGGAGTGTGGCTTAGTTGTAGAACACTTATATAGCATGCTTAAGGCTTTGGGTTCAAAAAAAATACCTTGTACCAAAATAAATAATCATAAAGTGGAAACTGATTCTTCCCCAACCCCTGCGTTTTTATTCCTTAGTGGTAATTACTGTTTTTTTGTTTGTTTGCTTGCTTGCTTACTTGCTTGCTTTTTGGTGCTGGGAATTGAACCCCGAGCCTCTTGTGTGCTAATAAGCACGTGCTTCACTGAACTACATCTCCTGTCCAGGTGGTAATTATTTTTAGTTGTGTTTTGTAGATTGATACAGAAAGAATATAAGCATCCTATTATTTTAAAAAGAGATTAAAAATAGTACTGGCATACATACTATGCAGGAATTAGCTTTTTTTTCCTATAGATAAATGTTATGGATATTTTTCTAGTCAGTCCCATAGATCTAACTTTGTTTTTAATCCTTGCAAAATATTCCATATGTGGAAGTACTTTAATTTCTTTAATCAGTTACCAACTGTTGGCTATTTAATTGAGTGTCTTGCTCTTTGAATTTGATGATTCTAAGAGCTGGACTTGTCGGAACATTCCTGTAATCCTAGCATGCCGGAGGCTGAAGCAGGAAGTTTGTGACTTCATCGCCAGCCTGGGCTTTTAGCCCGACCTTGTCTTAAGCAAAGGAAACAACAACAACAGCAAAACATGATTCTAAATTGACCTATAGTAGCTGGGTGCTGGTGGCTTATGTCTGTGGTCTAGTTACTCAGGAGGTAGAGATCAGGAGAATCATGGTTCAAAGCCAGCCCTGGCTGGAGACCCTACCTCAAAAAGAAAATCCAACACAAAACAGGGCTGGTGGAGCATCTGCCTAGCAAGCATGAGGTCCTGAGTACAAACCCCAGTGCCATCAAAAATAAATAAGTAATTGACCTGTAGTTATGAAGGTGTCTGAAAGTGATTACAATTTCCTACTTTGCTTTTGTGCTCTTTTAGAAACACTACTTTAGTATTGAAGAACAAACATCATGATTTTTCTCTAACCCCAGTTTTCTATTATTTAATCCGTAAGCTTTTTGTGAACAATATAAAGATTATCCTATAAAATTTTACCTGAAGCCAATGTAGTCTTCAAAATAAGAATATACATGGATCTTTAATATACTTAAAATTTTTCTAGGAATGTATATAAAGTATATAATTAATGTAGATCTTTTAGAGAGTTGTTTATTAAACTTCAAATGTCAAAATTATTGGTATATTGGAAACTGAATTATTTGACATGAGTGTAGCTCAAATTGTGATTTCACAATATTTGTTTCTTTTTTTAATAGATTCTTGAAACTATGCCAATGACTGAGAAAGTTGAAGAACTGCTGAACGTCATAGGTCCATTTTATGAAATTGTAGAAGATAAAAAAAGTGGCAGGAGTTCCGATTTAACCTCAGGTTGGACAATTTTACCTTTTTTTTTTTTGAGACAGGATCTCACGTTGTAATTCAGACTGTTGGCCTTGCACTCGCTATGTAGCCTAGGGTGGCCTCAAACTTGAAATATTCCTGCCTTAGCCTTAGGAGTGCTGGAATTACAGGTGTGAGCCACCATGCCTTGCTGTATTTGACCTATTTTTAAATTCAGCAACTAGTATATTATGCATGCATTGATATTTATATGTCTTATTTTTTCTTTACTTTCACATGCCAGTCCGACTGGAGAAAATCTCTAAATATTTAGAAGGTAGGAATAATGATATCCATGTATGTATTTTGTTAAAGCTTTACAGGCCAAAAGATATGCATGAATTTATATAAAATATAAGTTTGTCACCCAGAAATTTTCATTCCAAGAAAGTCATTGTGTGAAGTTCCAAGATTTTATAAACCCTAAAGTTTTTAACCCTTAAGTGTTAAGTTATTAAAACGTAACAGTTGGTTCATATATAAAATTATAACAGAATTCATAAATTTGTTTTGACAAATTATTTTCTATTTTGCTTTATGAATTATATTAGCAATACCATGGATTAAATGATTTTGTTGCTAATTTTAAACATGGATATTTTTATAGTATGGTTTAATCATAGCATAATGTAAAATAAGACATCAAGTAAATTCACTTAGCTTAATTTTTTTGTGATTTTTGTGTTTCCATGTTCTCAGTAAAGATTTAAAGAATTATGTTTTGCATACTAGTGGGAGTTAAATGAACTTCAAGTTTTGCTGGTATTAACTGTAAAAATTTCCTCTTTTTGTTTTTTTTTTTTTTGAGTGGGACTGGAGTTTGAACTCAGGGCTTTGCATTTGCAAAGCAGGTGCTCTACTGCTTGAGCCAAGCCTACAGTCCATTTTCACTCTGGTTATTTTGGAGATGGGCTCTCAAGAACCATTTGCTTATGCTGACCTCCAACTGAGATCCTCCTAATCTCACTCTCCCAAGTAACTAGAATTACAGGAGAGCGCCACTGGCACCCAGTAATATTTGTTCTTTAAATATTTTTTTAGAAAGCAGAGTGAACCGGGCACCAGCAGCTCATACCTGTAATCCTAGCTCCTCAGAAGAGAGATCAGGAGGATCAAGGTTTAAAGTCAGCCTAGGCAAATAGTTCATGAGCCTAAAAATACTCAACATGAAAATGGGCTGGAGGAGTCGCTTAAGTCATAGAGCACCTGCCTAGTAAGTGCCCTGAGTTTAAGTCCCAGTACTACCAAAAAAAAAAAGAAAAAAGCAGAGTGAAATGAGATCACACAAATAAATTTAAGTGAAAACTTAAATGCTTTCATTAAAAATTATCCTGCTATTCCTGTTTATAAGGTATCTTTTAATAATTAACAGAAACTGCAGCATTCGGAGCAGTAATCTTTGTATTTATAATCAGGCCTTATAGTTTGCTTCTTCCGTGTAATGAACCATGTACACTGATAGTAACTGCTTACTGGGCATAACTGTATCATACCATTCTATATCTGATTTGCTTAGAGGAGTCAAACATTATTAGCTAATAATTCAGTTAAGAAAAGAGATTTCTATCTCTGAGTAGGGCATGTTGTTAGGATACAAAGTAGAATGACTCTGGGCCTGCTTTAATAGGTAAGTGTGCTGGTAAGAGGCAAGTATTTGAATGACTAAGTATAAAACAAAGTAGAGTAAAAGTACTACAATATCCTGTTACTTATAATTTAGTAATTCCAAAAGCTTTGAAAACCAAACTTTTTTTTATATTCATTTGGTAGAAAAAACTGTCTTCACATGAACTAATTACGGAACAAAACCTAATCTGAAGTAATGTAAGGCTGTTTTGATTCTCTTTTTTTTGTTGTTGGTTTGCTTTTCTTTCTATGTAAGTCAGGCTGGCCTGGAACTCATCCAGCCAGGCTATCTTTGAATGCTGGATCCTCCTGACTAAGCTTCCCAATTGCTGGGATTATAGGCTTGTGATACCATGCTCAGTTATTTTGATTCTTTATGCTACTTATTGTGACTATTCATATTCTTTGCCACAAAAGTATTTTTTTGGTGAGAGTTTCTTCTTTACTAGAGCCTGAAACTCCATTTTGGAGGTGTTACATAATATGCTGTATATAATATATGAACTTTACAAAATTAGAAAACTTGAGATTTATATATCTGAATCCAAAGGTTGTAAGCAAAGAATTGTGAACCTGTACCACAGTTTATTTAACCTGAACCATTCTAATGGACATTTACATCATTTTCTCTTTTTGATTTTCAGAAAATCCTGCTGAGAATTATTATGTATGTCATTTTACATATGTGAAAGCATATCTCTGAGAAATAATATGAGCTTGTAAGAATTGCCAAATTGCAAGCCAGTTTGCAGTCTTTTTTTTTTTTTTAAATATCTGTTAAAAGTAGCCATTTAGGCCCAGTAGAACAGATGTAACAGTTTCAAATGGAGTTTTTCAGAATAGAAGGTCTAGTAAGTTTTGAAATCAGGAGAATCCTCCAATTTTCTTCTCTTTTGTTTTGGCTGTACTTGATACTTAGACTCATTTTCATATGAATTTTGAAATCTGCTGGTTAATTTTTGCATTAAAATCAGCTGAGATTTTGATAGGGATTGCAATGAATATTTAAGTCATTTTGGGGACTGTTACCATCTCAACAATCATGATCATGGGATGCCTTTCTATTTATTTCAGTTTTTAACTTCTTTCTTCTGTATTTTGTCATTTGCAGTGTATATTTTAGGTGTAGTCCTACGTATTTTATTCTTTTTTGATGCTATTGTACATTGGATCATTTTGCAGTTTCGTTTTTGGAACAGCATTTTTTTTTCAGCATTGGCGTTTGAACTCAGTGCCTTATAGTGCTAGGCAGGTGCTCTACCACTTGAGCCACTTGCCAGCCCCTAGATTGATGTTTTTATGCTGCATCATCATTGAACTATCTATTTTAATAGGTTTTTTTTCACCCCCTCTACCATTCTCCTTTATCTTCTCCTCCCCCCATTCCTGGAATAGTTTCAACAGGTCTCATTTTTCCATTTACATATATGTGTACACAATATTTGCACTGTACTCACCCTCCTACACCCTTTCCCTACCTCCTCCCCCTACTGTATTCTTAATTTCTGTAGTATTTTTATCATTGAAAAGGGTTGGATTTTGCTGTTTTTTCTTCAGCTGTTGCAGTAATCATGAGGCTTTTGTCCTTTAGTTCACCAATGTGGTGCGTTGCATTAATTGATTTTTGAATGTTGAATAGGCTTATCATTAATCCCCTTTGCTTTCCGGAGCTCATCACAGAACTGTAGTAATGCTGCTTTTTCTGCTGTCAGCTAGTTTTACTGCAGCCATCCATTTGATGGAGGTTTGGGGGATTCCTGTTACATTTTGTTGAAGATGTTTGTGTGGGTGATGAGTTGTTTTTTGTGTGTTTTGCTTTTAATTGTTGTTACTCTTTTTCTGGTTGTTGGGGACAGAGTGGAGGTTTAAAAACTCTTCAGCTCTCATTCTTAGCGTGCATGTGATCCTGGGTTTGATCCCCAGCCCTGAAAAAAAAAAAATCTGTATGTTATATAATACTTTAGTCTGGTTGTATATTTCAGTGGTAGAGCATTTGCCTAGTATGTGTAAGGTTAGGTTTGATCCCCAGCACCACAAAAAATAAACAACAAAAAACTATGCTGCAGCTACGATTTTCTAATAGAAAATGGAACTGAATCTTTATTCTTTCATTCTTTAATTAAGTAGACTTAAATAAGAACATAGGCCTGAATATTTATAAAGTGTATGGATATTTTGGAATTTAATATCTTATTTGGGATACAGAGAGCATCAAAATGTATTTGTATAAAGACCATTCCTTTTGCCTTCTTTAGAGACCATTACTATTTTTGTTTCCTCAGATGCTCCTTGTTGTTTATTCAGTAGAACATCACAACAAATATGCCTGAAATAGAACAAGTCTGTTTTTGTCTTAAAAAGAGTTGATGATCTCTCTTCAACAAAATTAGAGATAAGGGCAAAATAGTTTCTGCCGGGTAGCGAGGGTAAGGGGGAGGGTAAGGGAGGCGGGAGGGTAAGAGAGTGGGGGTGGGGAAGGGAGGAGAAATGACCCAAACATTGTATGCATATATGAATAAAATAAAAATTAAAAAAAAAAGAATTGATGAAATGGTGTTCACTGTTTTTCTAAACATGGTGCAGGACCCAAAAGAATTTTAGATCACCCCAGACCTACTGATTCAAAATCTGTATCTTAAGTATATCTCAGGTGATTGACATATATGTTATAGTTTAAGAAGCTCTTATGTATTTACCATCAGGATATAACTTAAGAATTTGCTTCTTTAAGTGATAGAGCATATTAATTGATGCTTTAAGAAAAAACTTATAACTAGTGTGCCTGAGACCCTAAAGGTAAGAAAGGGATAAAGAGCTTTTTTTCTCTTTTTTAAAATTTTTTAATTTTTTTATTCTTTTGGCTTCATCCTCTTTTTTGGTGGTACTAGAGTTTGAACTTAGGGCTTTGAGCTTACAAAGCAGGCACTCTACTGCTTGAGCAACATCTCCAGTCTGGGATAAAAATTTTTAAAATGGAGTCTAACTACAATATTGATGAGATTGTTGGAAGGATTAAAAAATAGCAAATTTATGTTTTCAGCAGCCAATGTGTATGCATCTCTCTCTACATATATCTATTTCTATATCTATATATATATCTTCATTTACTATCTATGAAGATGATTATTTAGTCTAACTTTTGATTATTTAGTCTAACTTTACTACTTTTTTGTTTTTGTTGTACTGAGTTGGGGTACATTGTGGTGTTTACAAAAGTTCTTACAGTATATCAAATATAGCAAAATCACCCCCTCTACCACTAATTTTACTATTTTGATTGATGTTAATTGAAAATAATTTATTCCCTACTTTGTACAGAAGGTATTTAAGATAGCTTTATCATTTTTACTATAAACTGATAATTAAAGGAATTTATTTTTTAATTTTTTTGAAGTTCTGGGGTTTGAACTCAGGGCCTACACCTTGAGCTACTCCACGAGCCCTTTTTTTGTGAAGGATTTTTTTGAGATAGGGCCACTCGAACTGTTTGCCCAGGCTGACTTTAAACTGTGATCCTCCTGATCTTTGCCTCCTTAGTAGCTAGGATTACAGATGTGAGCCACTGGTGCCTGGCTAGGAATTTATTTTTGTGTGTGTATTTACAGTCAAAGAAAAATACTATTATGTTTAAATTTTTAATATTTTAATTCAAAATTATTAGTTTTAAATTACAGCATTATTGTATATTACTACGTTATTGATTTAAGCGGTCATTTTATGTTTTAGATCTTGGTAATGTTCTAACTTCTACTCCAAATGCCAAAACTGTTAATGGCAAAGCTGAAAGCAGTGATAGTGGAGCTGAGTCTGAGGAAGATGAGGCCCAAGAAGTAGTAAAAGAAGTAAAACAAAGTGATAATCGTAAGTTTTGGATAATGGTTAATAATTTTACACTAAATAAGATGAAAGGCTATAAAGACATTTGAGCTGATTTAGTAATGTATAAGGTTAGTGCATGTGCTAGGATGTGAGCTGTGGACCAAAAGGTCTAGTTACTACATAATATAGGGACAGCCAGCCTTATGTATAAATAAAACAGGTGTTAATTAAAAGGCTCACCTGAATAGACCACTCTTCAAGTGTAGTACATGAAATGCCATATTAGACATGTAGTATTTTAATGTGCTGCTTACAATATTGATATGCATGGTTACCAACAACCAAAACAACTGAAGTTCTCAATGTCTTATCAAAATTAAAGTGGAATCCTGAGAATAGAATACAGGCATACTTTTTTTTTTTTTTTGCCGTGGTGGGAATCAAACCCAAGGCCTCATACATACTAGGCAAGTTTCTACCCATAAGAGGCACACCTAGTCTCTAGGCATAAATTTTGACAGAGAGGGAACACTGGGAAATTATGCATTCAGGGAATCTTGTTAGTAGAAGAACTAATGATTCATGGAAAGAATATTTTACAAAGGAAAGGTAGACACTAAAACAAACTGCACAACTTAGTTACGCTTTCACTTTCCAGTCTTTAAAGAACTTTTTTCAGCCTTCTAGACCTCTTTTCAGTGCTAGATCTCATCTGTAGAGTGGTTTGCCTGTGACTGAGAGAATGTAAGAACCTTGCGAGATTATTTTAAGATAGTCATAGGGAACAGGAGCAAATTCGAAGCCAGTACAGTTTCTTGTTGAGCTCTGAGCGTACAATAAAGCTCTTTTCATTGAGCACCCTATCTCTCTGATCCAAGTAGGAAAAAGGCTTATGGTAGGTTGCAAAATGACTAGTGGATATTAGAACATAGCATGTAGAAGTTGACCTACTCTGAACTTTTGTGAATCTCTCCATTGTCTCATAAAAGATAAGAAAATGATGAAGAAATCAGCAGACCACAAGAATTTGGAACTCACTGTCACTAATGGCTATGATAAAGACAGCTTTGTTCAGGATATACAGAATGACGTTCATATTGATTCTTCCTCGAATGACAGAAATGCTGAAGAAGTAAAATCTATAGATCAAAACTTGGAACAAACTGGAAAAACTGTTGTCTGCATTCACCAAGGTATTGTCCCCAAATACTTCCTTATCCTTCCTTTAACTAAATGTCCTTCCTTTAACTAAAATATTCTTTTAACAATTTTAGGATATTTAGGAATAGTTTAGAATTTAAAAATCTTTTATTACTAATATATTTGGGTTTATTAAGATTATAAAGGTTTGTAACTTTGAAAGATAGTGAATTAAGGCCAGAATCTGTTTTTTCTTTTTTCTTGAAACAGGGTCTCACTTTGTGGCCCAGGCTGACCTAAGACTTATAATGTAGCTCAGGCTGGCCTTGAACTCCTGATCCACCCACCACAACCTCCTGAGTGCTGGATTATAGGCATTTACAACCATGTCTAGCTCTTAAACTCTTAACATTTTTATTGAGAAATATTTTTGTTGTTATCATACGATATTTTAAAATAAAGTGTTTGAAAATTTTATGTTTATTTCTGATATTTCCCTTATCCTCTGATAAAGCAAAATAACTTAGTTTTTTCATGTCCTAAGGGTCGAGAGTGAGTCTATAGTATGTACCAGATAAATCATGAATATTGCTGCAATTTAGTCCAGAAACCAAGAAACATCATTTCTTAGTATAACAACCAAACTTGCAGAGTTTAGTCGTTGGTAGTTGATTTTCTCTTACAAGGTTATTAGGTTGTCTAAGATTTTATCAGGAATTCATAGAATTCAATGATAAAATGCTTTATAGTTTTTTCACATAGAATTATTGACTAAATTTAAAGTTTGGCAAGTTAAAAAAGTCTGACTTGAAGTTGGATGTGGTAGTCCATGTCTGTAATCCCAGTACTTTGGAGTCTAAGACAGAAGAATTGTTAGTTTGATGCTAACCTGGGATACATAACAAGACCCTGTCTATAAATAAATAAATAAATAAATAAATAAATAAATAAAATAAGTAAATATATTAAAAATATGGCTTGGTAAATCAAATTTGCCTCTTAGTTATGAACATAATATAGAGCTAATAAATTTTGAAAATGGAATAAAAATTTGTTTTTCTTCTATTAGGATATAATTATACTATCTGCACATTTGTTCATGTTTAGATACAAATGATGATCATGTTGAAGATGCTTCAGGATTTCAGCATTTGACAAGTGATTCAGACAGTGAAGTCTACTGTGATTCTATGGAGCAATTTGGACAAGAAGAGGTAAAAATGGCATTTTTGATTGGTAAGTTTTCAAAGTGGTATATCAGAATGCAATGCTCAACTTCTGTTAATGGCAGATGTACCTGCTGTTCATCACTTTGAAAACATACCTCTAAAATGTTTAAACATTTACATTTTTTATGAGTTAAAAATGTATATAATTCTTGGATGGGAGGCGTGGCTTAGGTTGTAGAGTGCTAGTCTAGCAAATGCAAGGCCCTGAGTTCAAATCCTAGTACCTGCTTACAGAAAAAGTACATAATTCTAGAATATTCAGAGAAAATTAATAATACTTAATTGTTCTGTTGTAATTTGTACAAAATGTATTTAGGTAATCTGGGAGAGGTGGGATGACGATGCAGAGGGAAAATTATGCTAGTGTTCATGCATGTTTCAAACATTGATTAATGAAGAAAACAGAATAGTTTTCAAACAAATCTGTTTTTCACATCAACTATAATCCATGAGATTAAAGTTTTTGGTGGAAATAATTTTCGATTTTCAGCTAAGAATCAGTATTAGAAGAAAAAATTTGAAAAAAAATTATAAAAAGTTTATAATGGGCTGTCAGAGTGGCTCAAGTGGTAGAGCACCTGCCTAGCAAGTGTGAGGCCCTAAGTTCAAACCCCAGTGCTTCCAAAAAAAGTCTATGATTGCGTTTGCCTTGGCAGCAAATATACTAGAATTGGATCGATACAGAGAAGATTAATTAGCATGGCCCCCGAGCAAGGATGACATGCATATTCTTGAAGCATTTCATATTTTGCAGTTTCTTGTCTGACAAAAAAAAGTCTGACTTTTTTTTTAGAATTGTTTCTGATAATGATCAGTGTGTTTTTGATGACTGTTTAGCATTTTTATGTCCTTTATCCACTTTTTCTTCCATTCCTTTTCTAATATAGTTCAGTGTGTCTTACAGAAAATCATTAAACTTTTGTCTCCATGAAATAATGATTTTAACTTTTTTTATTGTTCCCTCCTCCCTTTCATTTCATAATGAAAGTGATCTACTTTGTAGTTTTTTCCACTTTTAAAAACACATAAGGTATTTTTGAACTGTTTAAAATACATGACATAGATGGGAAAAATAATGGGAAACCACACTGAGAGTGAGCTGAAATTAGTGAAATATGAAAAATTATTTTAAAAATACCAGACTCCCATTTTCTTTCTCTCTTTTTTTTTTTCTTTTCTCTCTTTTTTTTTTCTTTTCTATTTTTGGAGAATTTTGGTGGAAAGGGTCTGGGTAAGAATCAAGCTCAGTAAATATCTGTCTACTAAATTCTAGGTTTTATCCTATTTTCTCTGTAAATCATTTAAAGAGCTGAAATCTCTCTTGGAGCTGTCTGGTCTGGCACTTATTTACTTACCTCATTGGCCTTGTCAACACTTCTTTCCTATTAGGTCTGCTAACCACTTACCCTTCCCTTCTTTTCTGTTCTTGTAATATGTTAAGTCCCTCTCCCTTGTCAAGTCTAGTACCAGTGTCTTTGCATTCAATTGGTCTGGAAAGTTTCTCCATCCCAGGATTAATTCCTGCACATCCTTTATACCTCACTTAGATGTCCCTTCCTGAAAGAAACTTTCTTAGATAAGGTACCATCTCATTACCACCATCACCACTTCTTTAGTCTGGTTTAGTTATAGGTTGTCACCATAAATGTCTTAGGTGGATTCTTTTAAAAACATATTTAAGTAGCTATTAGAATCAGGGTGCTTGTGGTTCATGCCCATATCCTAGCTTACTTAGGAGGCGGAGATCTAAAAGCATGTAATTCGATGCCAGCTGGACAGATAGTTCGTGAGACCCCCCCATCTCCAAATTAACAAGAGCAAAATGGACTGGAGGTGTGACTCAAGCATTAGAGTGCCTGCTTTTCAAGCTTAAAACCCTGAGTTCAAACCCCAGTCTCGCATAAAAAAAAAGCTATACAAACACAAAAACATGTTTAAGTTGATCTCTGTTACCCATTTTGAAATCCTTATGAGTCAAGGCCTTTTCAAATTCTTGTGAGCCATATATATTATGTTTATCATTTGCCTGTTAAAATTAGAACATTTTCCTTCTCTTGTTTTTCTTCTCTCTCTTTAAAAATTTTTTTTTTATTTTGGTGGGACTGGGGTTTGAACTCAGGCCTTTGCACTTGCAAAGCAGGTGCTCTACTGCTTGAGTCACACCTCCAGTCCATTTTGCTGTGTTTATTTTGGAGATGGGTTCTGGAGAACTCTTTGCCAGGGTTGGCCTTGAACCCTGATCCTCCTGTCTCAGCCTCCCATGTAGCTAGGATTACAGACATGAGCCACAAGTGCCTCGTTACTAATAGCTTCTTGAATGTGTCAGTTAAGTATGCCCTCATAACAGTGCACAGACTAAGAATGTTTAAATCTTTGATACATATTTTGTTACAACATTTTTTTAAGTCTTACAATATTATAGCTAGGATTGTTGTTTTTTATCAAAATAAAAAAATAGCAAATAAAAAATATTCACTGGGGATAGGTTGAGGTAATAGGTGAAACAAGAGTGCTGATAATTGTTAAAACTGGGTCATTAATACTGTACTATAGTCTGTTTGACATTTTCCATAGCAAAAAATGTTAAAAATGAATGTTGCTTATAAAAAATTATTTTTGTTTTTTGGTTTTTTTTTTTTTGTGGAACTGGGAATTGAACCTACAGCCTCGGTAGGCAAGCCACTTGAGCCATGTCCCCAAGCCTTTTTTGTTTTGTATTTTATTATTGAGATAGGGTCTTGCTAACTTTGCTTGGGTGTGCCTTGAACTCTCAATCCTTCTGCCTTTGTTTCTCAAGAAGGTGGGATTACTGGTATGTACCTCCATACCTGACTTCTTTGTACTTTATTTTCTAACTAATGTTGTCTATGTGACTTTTTCCTTTTTTTATTAGAATGTCAAATTTAATTTTGTTCTATAATCACTTCATAAGGAGTTTCCTTTTGCTTTCCTTCCTTATTTATGATTCTATAGCATTACTTGTTCTTAGGAGTCATTATTTATTTGTTCCTAGACTTCATTTCAGTATCTTATCCATTAAAGGTATTTAGCCTATCTAGTAATATGATTAAATACTGTTTTATTATTACCTGTTTATTGTTAATTTAACCTCTATCCTAAATAATATTACTTTCAACTTCTTTACCTATGATAGATGATCTGTAAATAATTCATTATTTAAAGAAGTTAAGTGTTGGAATTTTATTTTCAGGATTTTTGCGGTATTTTTTGAACACATTAATCTTTTTTTTTTTGTGGCAGTACTGGGATTTGAATTCAGGACCTTGTGCTTGCTAGGCAAATGTTCTACAACTTTAGCCATAACTTCAGCTCTGAGTACACTAACAGCAATAATTTTTTTTTTTTTTTTGCTATTTATATTACCTTGGTTTCTGTCCTTTCTATAGTGTTCATGATTTGGCAGCACTGTTTCTCATTGGTTTCACTAAATCTCTTGATGTGACAAAGGACCTCATGTTTTCTAGGGCCTCATCTCACTAGACAAATTTTGTTTAAAAGAAAGTCATTTTTTTCATAGTTTTGTTTTCAGTAAGGTTTAAGTAAGTTGAGTCTTTATAGATCTCTTTCTAAAAAATAAAAAATTTGAAAGATTGAATTATTAGACATTATTGATTTGTAGAATCTAAAATTAAACCATGTTCTGGAATAACCATTTAGGGAAATAAATAATGACCTGAAACTGAAACAGAATTGGAGATGTGAAATATATGTATTATATTGTATGTTGTACATATTCCTTTGGTATCATTTCAAAGCAGAGTAGCTCTTCAGATAGGTGGGTTTGGAGTTTTGTCAGGTGTGTTAGATTTCCAAGTGAATAAGAAGGACAGAAAATTTCGATTTTTTTTCTCTTGTTTTGCACATTCTTCTCATTTCTTAAGCAGTGTTTTTTTCCATCTTTACTGGGGAGCTTGTTATGTACAGATTCTTGGGCCATTGTGAGTTCCACAGTTTCTGATTTAGCAGGTTTCCAGTGCGCCCTGTGAATTTGCATTTCTAACCAGGTCCCAGTTAATCCTGCTGCTGCTGGTCTACAGGCCATATTTTGAGTAGCAACTGAAGCATGAAAAGCTAGAGTTCTATCAGAGCTAGTACTGTAGGTGGCAGGCTTACGTGCATTGGTCCCATCCCACCTTTTCTTTTGTTTTCATCTAGTAATTTTGTCATCTACTATGCTAAAAAGCTAGACTCCAATAGGTTCTTGCTCCTCGAACTTCATACCTTGATACTTCTTTTGTTTACTGACTATAAGCTATTCCTGTTCAGTGCTTGATACCTTTCTTTCCCCCCTCAGTTGATAACACATTTTCTTTTAAGGCCAGTTTCTCTACTTTACTCCCCACTTCTCTGGGGGCCTTCATCTTTTTTACCCTCTGCAGACTATCCCTAACCATTGTCTGTCCTCTGCTTCTTTCTTCTTAAGCTATAAATGTGTTCATATCTCTTCATCTTTGAAGGAAAGTGCTTCTTTAACCTTGTAATGCCCTTTGTTGTCCTATCTCCCTCCTTCCTGTCAGAGTCAGACTTTTTGTTAATTGTATCCATTTATTACATTCATTTAGTTCAATTAGAGTTCTGTCATTCATGCCAACACCATTCTGTTGCCAATTTGAAAGGAAACTTTATATTTCCTGTTACTTTATTAACTGTCTAGCCCCAGAGACTTTCCTCTGTGCCAGATGTTTTATTGGCTCATGCTGTCACTATTATAACACCTTTTTTTTTTTTTTTTTTGATGGTGTTGAGGTTTGCACTCAGGGCCTTGTGCTTGCTAGGCAGACACTACCATTTAAGCCACACCTTCAGCCCTATTATGATAACTCTGACTTGGCTTATACTCATTTGTTTTTCAAGTCATAGTTTATATCATTTTTTTCCAGGAAGCCTGTCTTAACCACGTCTCCACGCAATCCCAGTATGGGTTAGGTACCTATTTGATGAGCTCCTACAGTATCTTTGTGTGTCTTTTTTCAAATGACATCATAGGGATCTTCTCTGACTCCCTTATAAGGCTGCCAGCTGTTTGTAGGGAGGATCCTATCTCTTTCTTCATAGTATCCCTTGAGTTTAGTATAGTAATTAAGATAAGCATAGAAAGTTATGTGTTTCTTGAATGAATGACTAGCCCATGAAATCAATTCACTGCCAAACTTCTCAGGTTTTTGCTCATGGATTAAACCATTTCTATCCCATCTCTTTCCTATGTATAGGAAGCTAAATATGAATTGAGGAAATTTATTACAAAAAGAACATTTCCCACAATAACATGAAAGAATCATTTTAGAAAAACAGTATTATTACCATGCAAACTTTGTGGTATATAATTTATATTCACTTTTTAACTAAGTCTCATTTTAAATTTATAGTCTTTAGACAGCTTTGCACCAAACAATGGACCATTTCAATATTACTTGGCTAGTCGTTCCAATCAGCACTTGGAAAATTCTCGTTTTCCTAAAGATGTTCAAGTATCTCCTGGAAATGGCAACATAGGGAATATGCAGATGGTAGCAGTTGAAGGAAAAGGTGAAGTAAAGCATGGAGGAGAAGATGGCAGAAATGACAGTGGAGCACCACACCATGAGAAGCAAGGTGGAGAAAGTGAGGAGTTCTCTAATGTTAGAAGAGGGAGAGGTATGTATTACCTCCCGCATGCTACACTACCTTTATAGGCAAATTGACAAAATGGAAACAGTCTACATAGCAGAGACACTAAGACATTCAATGTGCAGTGATTATTTGTAAAGTTAAAATTGCCAACATCTGCCATTTTTTCTTCATGTCTAGTTCTCTCCTTTAACTCCTCAGGCATAGAAGTTTGTTCTCTGAAAGTATCAGTAAAAACATTTCTGTTTCTAATCTTCTATACAATTTTTGAAGTAACCAAATTTATTTTCAATTTTCCCTCTGAACAATCACTGACTGCCTTAATTATGCTCTGCCTCTTTTTTCCCCATGTAGGGGTAAGTTTGAATTCTTTATCTTTTCCACATTTCCCCACTTTGGTCAAAAGAGATCATTTAAAGCTAACAAATTAAGTCATAGGACTGAAAGAACATTTAACAATATAAACGTTAAAAATAGCGATGGGGTCAGATGATAGAATAGAGATGGGTGGGAGGAAAAAGGGAAATATATTCATCATAATTGTTTCTGGTAAGAAACAAATAAATGAATAGATGCTGTCAAAAACAGAGAATTAAGAAAAAGAAAAAATTAAAGAGTATTACTTAAAATTATAATGTAGGGCTAGAGGTGTAGATTAGTCATAGAGCATATATGCAGGAGTCCCTGAGTTCAATCTCTCCCACCAAAAAAAAGAAAAAGTTATGGCTTATAGTAACCCTTTGAACAGATGCTCCTTAATTTGCAGTGGACTTACATCCCAATAAATCCATTATAATTTGAGAATATTGCAAGTAGAATGTGCATTTAGTATACCTCACCTTCTAAATATCATAACTTAGCCATTCCTACCTTGAGTATACTCAGAACACTTATATTAGCCTCCATTAGGTCAAAATCAACTAAAACAAAGCCTACTTTATAATAAGGATTAAATGCCCATTTAATTTACTGAAAACTATATTGAGAATAAAAAACTCAACGGCTATATGGGTATACTTCTGTATCATCATAAAGTTGAAAATCATAAGTAGGATCTATGCATTCAATAGAAATCTTCAAGTTTTTAATTTTGACCTTTTCCAGCCTAACAATATATGGCAAAATAGTCTCTTACTGAGTAGTGGCAGCAAGCTGCAGCTCCCAGTCATCCATGTAATCAAGAGGGCAAATGACTGGTTCTCTACAGTATACTATGTTGCTAAGCCATGATGTTAGGTGGCTTAGGTTTATTTATTTTTAATTAATTTTTTTTTTGGCAATACTAGGGTTTGAACTCAGCCTTATGCTTGTTAAGCAGGTATTCTATCTACCACTTGAGCCACAACCCCAATCCTAGGTTAGGTTTATTAAATGTGTTTTTAACTTATGAGACTTTCAACTTATGATGGGACTATTAGGATGTAATCCCAACATAGGTCAAGAGCAGTGTGACTCAAGTGGTAGAGTGCCTGCTCCATAAACGCAAAGCCCTAAGTTCAAACCCAGTATCCCCCCAGAAAAGCCTTTAAACCTTTTTTATTAATCAGAAAAGAACCACACATGATTTCAAAAATTTCAAAAAGTAGAAACATCTGGGTATAGTGGTAGACTACTGTAATTCCAGCACCCAGGAGACTGAGGTGGGAGAATTGCTTGAGCCCAGGAGTTTAAGACCAGTCTGGGTAACATTTAGTAAGACCCTGTCTCAAAAAGAGAAAAAAGAAAACCTACTTGAGAGGCAGACATTGGGAGAATCATGGTTTTTGGCCAGCCCAGGCAAAAAGTTTGCAAGACGCCATCTCAACCAGTGGCTGTCATCCTAGCTAATACAGATAAGCCCAAATAGGAGGATTGCAGTTCTTTTCAATGCCTATAAGGAGTATGCACTTTATAATAAGAAAAACCTTTTGTGAGTCTTACAATGTAATGAAAGAAAAAAATGACCAAAAAGTTATGTAGTACTCTAAAGAAGCAGTCATCAAGAAATTTTCAGCATGCATTCTGAACATGTATGTTATTTGTGAATTACATACATACAACCATGTGCTAGTATATTATATACAGAACCTTCATGAAAAAACTTAAGAGTATATTACTATAAATAGAAGTTTTTTGGGCTGGTAGAGTGGCTCAAGTGGTAGAGCACCTGCCTAGGAAGCACAAAGCCCTGAGTTCAAATCCCAGTACCACCACAAAATATATAAATAAATAAAGGTAAAAAATAGAAGTTTATATACTTATTTCTTTTATCCCAAGAGTTTATTTATGTACTTCCTTCATTGCTCTGATATACTTTGAACATTTAGATCTCAAAGGAATAACAGGAAAATGAATCAAACACAGTTTGTACTTTCACAAATTTTATTTAAAGCTAACTTATGTCACTCTCTTAAAATAGGGCACAGAATGCCACATTTGAGTGAAGGAACCAAGGGTCGGCAAATGGGAAGTGGAGGTGATGGAGAACGTTGGGGCTCAGACAGAGGGTCAAGAGGCACCCTCAATGAGCAGATTGCTCTAGTGCTCATGAGATTGCAGGAGGACATGCAGAACGTCCTTCAGAGACTTCATAAACTGGAAACACTAACTGCTTCACAGGTAAGCTTCTGACTGTCTTCTACTTGATGTAAAGCAGTGTGTAATCTGTGCTGCACAGATTTACAGAGACCACAAATTGTAGGGATTTTTATAAACAATAAAAATAATAAAATAATAAAAACAACAAAAATAATAAAAAAGGACCTACTTTTGAAAATACTGCTTAAGAAAAAACCTAAAAGCTTAAAATAGAATGCTTTCTATTCAGAGTGTAAAATTTAGCAGTACTACATTGGAGGTAAGGGTTGGGTACCTGGTATTAGAAGAACAATTGTTGCTGAACACTGCAGTTTGAAAAACTAATAAAGAAGCCTTTACTAATTGCTAACAATCCATCATTAAAAGTCATTCTTTTGAGCTGGGCATAGTGATGTGTGCTTGTAACCCCAGATATTCCAGGGGTTGGTGCAGGAAGATTACAAGTTAAAGGCCTGCTTTTAGTGAATTTGACGCCAGTCTGGGCAACTTTAGCAAAACCCTCAAAATATAAAATTTCAAAAGGACTGGGGATAGAGCTCAGTGGTAGATTTCTTGCCTCACATGTATAGTGTAAGGCCTTGGGTTGATCCTCAGCACTGGAAAAAGGAAAAAGAAAAAAAAAGGCAGTTCAGTTAGTCAGTTGTAAAAAACTCAAGCAAAACTTAAACATCCTGTTTCCTAGGTTAGTGGTCTTTCTGTGGTGAATACAATTGGCAGTTACCTCTGGAGGAAGTACTAAAAGAAAGGGAAAGTGTTTATAGGAAGAGACAGTTCAATTTGTTTCACAATTTTGACTGTCCTGTAATAAGCCTTGGACCCAGCTGCCAAGGTTTCGAATGGTTACTATTGATCTTTCCTGTTTGTCTATTGACTTGTCCCTCCTTAAGTAATGTTGGTTGGAGAGAATAAAGACACAATCAGGGAGAAATGACCTAAACATAGTATGCACATATGAATAAAAAATAAATAAATAAAATTTAAAAGAAAGAGACTATCGGCCTGATTGACCTAGCTTCGAAAACATTACATAATATCAAACCTTTCTCAAAAAATGTGATTCAAATCTAACCCCAGTGCAGACTTTATTGCTATTCAGCACTGCTTCCTACTAAGCATGAAAGGGATTGCAATGGAGATGGGTATAACAGAGTGGAAAGATAGATAGCCAATAATGAAATCAGTACAGCACCACCAGTGAGTAATGTTGCTTTGCATAGACCCGCATGGTGGGCAGTGTGACCCTCCACGTTAGAACAGGATCTTCACTTCATTTTTAATCTCACCTTGATCATAGTTAATGACTTTGGAGCTGCTTAATTCTCCCAACCTATCAGAGTTACATTGCATGAATCCATTTATAGACAAGCTCCAAAGCAGCTTTAAAAGAGTCAACTACATGCATCCAATATGAATGCATCCTTTAATTATCATTCCATATTTGAGTTGTAGTCTTCTTGGATACTACATGAGGAGAGTATTCCCTGATATAAGAGATACTTGACTTTTCCCACAGTGTGAGATAAAGCTATTAGAGAATTTGTCAGATATCATTCAGAAGATAATCTTATTCAATTTATACACAATCATCCCTGTCCTTTTCAGCATTTTGTACATTTTTATGAACACTTAATTAGAGATGATTTCTGAAACATTCAGTCTAGAAGAAAAACATTGAAATTGACTGATCTGTGTCTGGTTTAGAAAAATTAACAGTTTCCCCTATATGGTATATTTTTCCTTTTCTTTCTTTTTTTTCCTTCCAATATCAGGTTTAAATTCAGGGTCTTAACACTTGCTAGGCAGTTACATTACCACTTGAGCTACAACCCCAGCATGGTATTATCTTTCTTAAGATCAGATTCCTTGGGAACTTTAACTCGACATGTGTACACCAATCACTTCCCAGTGTCCTGAGTCGTAAATAGGCTTCTTGCCTAATGTTTTCTCTCTCATATTGAAATGGGGCCATCACCACAGAGAATTCCCTTATGCCAAGTTTTGGTTATAGTTGCATTTGCATTTTGTATATTTTTCATTTTGTACCTTTTGAAACTATGTATTTATATTTGAATCAGATAACTATTTTTTAGTGCAGAGTCACTGCTTATGTTCAAAATAGAAATGTTACAAATATTTTGTAATCTTTTTTAGAGCACACAAAGTCAGAAGTTGCATATAGCAAATATAGATGTATGTTTTAACAACAACAACGAAAATGACTGGGGTCTAAGCTATAGAGTGTGTGATTAGCATGTGGGAGGCCCTGGGCTTGATCCCAGCAGCAGAGATAAAAGAAAAGAAAAGATTTTGACATGATAGGGGCTTTTAAAATTTGCATAATTTGCTTGAATGACTCATACAAGAAATAAATTGATGGACTCAGGGTGTGGCTCAGGTGGTAGAGTGCTCACTTAGCAAAATTCAATACCTAGTATTGCCCTCCTGCAAAAAAATGATAGTAGAATGGTCATAAATTGTAGAACTGAAGGAGTCTTAGTCCAGCATCCTTTTTTAGAAGAGGAAGAAGCTAAGATACTGAAAATAAGGTCTGTAATAAAGTCTCTTGATATCTTTCTTTTTTTACCGTTTTTACATTTACTCACATATGTATACATTGTTTGGGCCACTGCCGCCCATACCACCCTTGATTTCTTATGTAATATACTTTCCACCACAGAGAGATGAGTGAAGAATATTATTTTTTGTAAAATGTTTCCGTAGATTTATTTACTCAACAAATATTTATTGAATGGCCATATACCAGATCATTTTCTAGGCAAAGGATGCAAAAATGAAGCAAGAGATAACAATAGTATAGCAGATCTTGGAGTAAACTATTTGGGTTCACATCCTGGCTCTATAGGCAGGTATTCTACCGCTTGAGCCATTTTATCAGTAAATTCCGGCTCTACTGCTTAACTATGTGACCTCAAGTCAGGTACTGAAGTTCTCAGCTTCCTTTGCTCCATGAGAATATTAATACTGTGTACCTGATAGCTTCTTAAGAGGATTAAGTAAAATGCTTAGGACATAATAAACCATGAAGTATTGTCAATATGAGATGATAATGACGATGACTCATTAACAATGACACTAGTGACAAAAGTAATGATAAGACAACTTGGTTCCTTCCTGCAGGAGGCTCATAGCCTTAGAGAGGGCCTGATTTCAATAATTTTTTTCCTTTATATTTCTTTTGCAATGATTATTTCAGGTTGAGTATCCCTTATTTGAAATGTGGGGACCAGCTAGGTGTGTTAGCACATGCCTTTGGAGGCTGAAACAGGAGGACCAGTGTGTTTGAGGCCAGCCTGGACTACATAGCAAGACTTTGTCTCAGAAGAAAAAAATTAAAAAAAAAATGCTTGGGACCAGAAGTGTTCCAGTTTTGGGAGGACTTTTTTCTTTTAATGTTTAAATAGATTTTACCAATTGAGCATGCCTAATTTGAAAATCCAAAATTGGAAATGCTCCAAAATTCAAAACTTAATTTTTGGCAGCAATTGAGGTTTGAACTCAGGGCCTTATATTTGCTAAACAAGAGCTCTATCACTTGATCACTTGAGCCACACTTCTAGTCCTTTTTGCTTTACTTTAATTTTCAAATAGGTTTCATACTTTTTGTCTGGACCCAGCCTTCCATGTAGCTGGTATTAGAGGTGTGTGACACTGTGCCAGACCCTTTCAAGTGCCATGTCAGCACTCAAAAAACACACAGTATTTCAGATTTTGGAACATTGTGGATTTCAGATTTTTGTGTTAGGCTTCTTCAACCTGTATTATATGAAATTTTTTCTTTTAAAATGAATTTTTTAAAAAGTGGAGCCTAGGGGTGCTCAGTGATAGAGCATTTGCCTAGTATGTTAAGACCCTGTGTTAGATCCCCAACACTGCCCCCAAAAGGTAATCCTTTGTTTTAATCTAGCAATCAAATAAATGAGGCCAGCTTGTACTAGCAAGACTCTGTCTCAAAAAACTAAAAAAAAAAAAAAAAAAAACCAAAACAGAAAAAAAGAGTTTAGCTTGATTTGAGATTCTATTTTGATAATATCATATCATTTGAATGTAAAATATAAAGTATTAGTGGTATCTGTTTAGCTCACTGTTTTAGGGACCTTGTTCTTTGGTCAGTATGGGTTTTAAGAAAGCCAAAATGTAGCACAGAAATACAGAATAATATTTTAAACTTTTTTTTTTTTTAAAAAGGGAGGACATAGAAAAATTACTCTTTTTTTTTTTTCATATTGTCAAGGCTAAGTCACTTTCATCTGTATTCACAGGCAAAATCATCAACATTGCAGACTAGTAATCAGTCCTCTTCACAGGTAAGAAATTGTTTTCTTAAAACTAAGTGTCAGGATTTAAAATAAGTTACAATACTCTTAGGTTATATGAGATACTTTAGCATTTCAAATGAAATCTACCCTTTACAGCATTGGAGTTAAAAAGTATTTTGGGGTTTGTTTTTTTAACATTGGAACTCCTGAAAGTCTGCTTACTGAATGAAGAATATCCCTTCTGTTTATTAAGAGTGAGATTTGTTATTAGTTTATATTTTCAAAAGTATGAATTAAATATATTTTTAAGTTTCTACATGCAATATTTAATATTAATGGCAAGCTTATTTTATTTTCTCAGAGACCATCTTGGTGGCCCTTTGAGATGTCTCCTGGTGCATTAACTTTTGCTATTATATGGCCTTTTATTGCTCAGTGGTTGGTGCATTTATATTATCAAAGAAGAAGAAGGTAATACTATAGGTTTGTAACTTGAAATGGCATATGAACTCATCTAACCTATAGTAGACAGAGCTTTCAAGCAGCATTTAAGGGGATAGGTCCATTTTATAGATACATATTTCATGCTGAATATTCTTTACTGATGTTGAGACTCAAACAGCCTTGGAAATGATATCTGGTAGTATTCTAGGCACTTACTAGACTTTAAAATTTTTTTCACTTGAGAGCATCTGATGGATTTTACATCTTTAATTTGTGTAACAAGCAAATGACCGTATACTTCTTAAGTTTCATGGCCTATGAAAAAACAGTGCTGTGATTAAGCAATAAAGGATAATGAAGAGATAAACAAATACTGCCTGCTTGTTTTCTATGTACTTCTGAAATACAGACATTTGACAGTTCAGAAAAAATTTCAGTCCAGTGGATGACTATCTCTAGATTTAGGAATTACTTTAATTAATAAGAAGAACAGAATTCCATCTTGGGTTGATAGGAGAGAAGTTAAATAGGTATGAGAATAATGAACTGAAGTCCCTGTAAGTGCCTTGAGTCTATCTACATTATGAGCATCCTGAGGCCAGAACCCTTGTGTTCAAGGAAATTCATTTCAAATCCAAAAAAGCTTTCTTTTTTGGATACTATGCAAACTGAATTACATTTCATGAATGAGTGAGCAGATAGTTCAGTATGTCACTGGTGGCCTCACTGATTATGTGTTCAGTGTCTCATCACCATCTCCCATTAAGTAGCAACAAATAGGGAAAAGCAATAGAGCATTTGATAATAATATGCAATAGACATAACACACATACTCAAAAATCTGTAAGTCTGAATATTTTTACAGGTATGGTTTTCCTTTACCAAAGAACCAAGTTTTTTTTTTTTTTTTTACTTTTTTTAAAATTTTATTCATATGTGCATACAATGTTTGGGTCATTTCTCCCCCCTTCCCCCCACCCTCTCCCTGAACCACTCCTCCCCTCCTATCCCCTTGCTTCCAGACAGAAACTATTTTGCTCTTATCTCTAATTTTGTTGAAGAGAGAGTATAAGCAATAATAGGAAGGACCAAGGGTTTTTGCTAGTTGAGATAAGGATAGCTATACAGGGAGTTTACTCGCGTTGCTTTCCTGTACATGTGTGTTACCTTCTAAGTTAATTCTTCTCGAACTAACCTTTTCTCTAGTTCCTGTTCCCTTTCTCCTATTGGCCTCAGTCACTTTAAAGTATCTGCATTAGTTTCTCTGCGTTGAGGGCAACAAATGCTATCTAGTTTTTTAGGTGTCTTACCTATCCTCATACCTCACTTGTGTGCTCTCACTTTATCATGTGATCAAAGTCCAATCCCCTTGTTACATTTACCCTTGATCTAATGTCCGCATATGAGGGAGAACATACGAGTTTTGGTCTTTTGGGCCAGGCTAACCTCACTCAGAATGATGTTCTCCAGTTCTGTCCATTTACCTGCAAATGATAAGATTTCATTCTTCTTCATGGCTGCATAACATTCCATTGTGTATAAATACCACATTTTCTTAATCCCATTTGTCAGTGGTGGGGCATCTTTGCTGTTTCCATAACTTGGCTATTGTAAATAGTGCTGCAATAAACATGGGTGTGCAGGTGCCTCTGGAGTAACCTGAGTCCCATTCTTTTGGGTATATCCCCAAGAGTGGTATTGATGGATCATATGGTAGATCTATGTTTAGATTTTTAAGAAGCCTCCAAATTTTTTTCCAGAGTGGTTGCACTAGTTTACATTCCCACCAGCAGAACCCAAGTTTCTAATGATTATGTTTAATAACTTCTCTTACATAAAAGGGATTAGCAGCACTCTTAAGTGCTCCAGTTAATGCTTTACAGTAGACTGAAATGCATATGACAATGAGTGAATCATTTCAGTCACTTTGGTTTATATTCATGAGTGAACTAATTAAATTTCTGGTACATTTTCTTTGATTATATCTGCCTACTTGTAAAACTTTAATACAGTTTCAAAAGCATAAATTGCTTTCTTTCCCTTTTTATTTTTTCTTCTTGATGCCTGGGATGGAATCCAGGGCATGGTGCATGCAAGGCAAGCACTCTACCACTGAGCTATACCCCAGCCTGTATTTATCCCTTTTTAGAACCATTTGTGTTACTTTAGTTGTTAGACCTTAATTTAAATAGTTTCTTTTCCCCTTTTATATATTCTAAATTTCTTCCATGATGGTTTGGTATAGTTTTGTCCAGTGATTTAAGTTCTAATATCCCTGCTAATAGGAAGAAAAAAAGTATCAAACTTTTTCTCAATATGTAGCAATGCTAGATTTAAGCAGTATAACACAAGGACACTTTAAGATAGGCATTTACTATTTTTCAGTGTGTTTCAAAAAGTCTTTTTTATTTTTTTGCTTTTATTATTTTTTAAAAAAAATTTTTATAATGCTGGTTGTACACCTTGTACATGCTGGACAAGTGCTCTATCACGAAGCTATATCACCAGCCCTCTAAACTCCTTTCACATTTCCTTTGCAGAAAGTTAGGAATAGGAGGGTAGAGAAATTTGGCATAGAACAAACGCCAAAATTAGAATAATAGACTTGTTTTATGCTTAAGGTTGAAATAGCTTATCATTAAAGACTTAAAAACAAATTATTCTGCTTTAGCAGTCACAGAAAATTTGGATTTCTAAAAAAATTTTTTTGGTGGCACTGGGGTTTGACCCTCAGGGCCTCATGCTTGCAAGGCAGGTGTTCTTGCTGCCTGAGCCACTCTGCCAGCCCAAGTAATTTTTAATATAGTTAAGTTAAAGGAATGAAGACTAGAGAGCAGTGTATATGACTTGGATGAGAGAGGGTCTCTGTGTTACACATAAAGAGAAAGGTCTAGAACTTGGCATTTGTTGTTTAATATTTTTCTAGTATAGAGGAGTATAATTTTATTATTATTATTTTTTCCTGGCACTGGGATTTAAATTCAGTGCCTTATGCTTGCTAGGCAGGCACTCTTACTGTTGAGCCACTCCACCAATTCAGTATAATTTTAAAAGTAAAGAGATTTTGTACACAATCATTCTGCAGTGGGATTAGAACACATTCTCTCTGTATGAGATATGAAGAATGATACCTGCAGACTTGTTCAGAAAGAAGGCCTGTTTATGTAGTTCAATGGCAGAGTACTTGCCTAGCATGTATGAGGCCCTGGGTTTCATCCCCAGTATTGGCTTAAAAAAAACCCTGAACAGATTACTGCCGTGTCCAGTTATTAATCTGATTATTCCACTATTAAAGTTAACCATTAAACCAGGCATGATGATACACATCTGTAATCCCAACACTTGGGAAATTGAGGCAGGACAGTTATGAGTTAAAGAGTTCAAGGATAGATTGGTCTCCATAATGAACTTTTTTTTTTCAGTGCTGGGATTGAACCCAAGGTGTTATACAGCCACACATGTGCTCTATTACTTGAACTATGTCCCCCAGCCCTTTTGCTTTTATTTTGCTTTTGAGATAGGGTCTTACTACCTTTCCTGTAGCTGGCTTCGGACAGTTAGTCCTCCTGCCTCTGTCCAAAGTAGCTGGGATTAGAGGCATGGGCCACCATGCTCTACAGAGAGTTTCAGGCCAACTTGGGTTACATAATGAGACCCTGTGTCAAAAGAAAAAGAAGAAAAAAAAATGAACCATTAGGGCCTCAAGGTATAGCTCAGTGGTACAGTTGCATGTGAGAGGCTCTGGGTTCCATACCCAGCACTGCAAAAAACAAAAAAATTGTAATGCACAATGACAACAAAGTTAATTACTGGAAGCAGACTTGTTAAATCTAGAGATGACTCTTTTTCTTGGGGGTTGGAGGGAGCTGGTCTTGAACTCCTAAGTACCAGGACAAAAGACCACTCTTAAACTGTTAATTTGAAGAAAAGGATGTTTCTAACTACTTTTCTTTCTCAGCCTGCCCAGATTCATAAATTTGCTATAATGTCGTTCCCTTGGGGACACTGAACCTTTAGTCAAAAGGTAATAAATAGAAACTGGTTGGGAGTGGGGAGGATCTCAGAAAGAATGTTCTTTAGCTAAGGGATCAGAAGGTACTAACATAAAAAGTCAGGCCCAAGGGCCTGAGGAGGAGGAAAGAGTCTTCAGTGCTGCCCACCCCCATACACACACAAAAAGAAAAGCTTGAAAAAAGTTCTAAAGTTTTGAAAATAATAAATAAATCATCCTATTACATTATGAAGAGTAAAGGTTCTGAAACCAAGTTGTCTGGCCTATTGTAAATCTGCAAAGGACTTTGTGTCGCAATCTTCTACACAGGAGTTCTTGATAAGTGTTACAAGATGTTGGGGCTCCCCACAGCTAACATGTCAGGCCTTTGGGTTTAGAACCACCCACATCTGTCTGGTCTTTGTCAACCATTTTAATTCTCTTCTTCCAGGGGCCTGTTTTCTTCCTACTCCAGGGATCACCTTCTGTTAAGTGAAAATTGATCTGATTATTTAAAGTGTCACTGATGCCAAAGAAGTGTGCATAAGAGGATTTCTACAGAGCATAAGGAATGACCTGATTATTTAAAATAACGCTTCTCCCAAGGGGTTGCATAAGAGTGTTTCTGTAGAGAGGAACGAACCTGTAACCAGAGAGTTTCAGGCATTTTGGCATCTTGAGTGTTAGAGAGGATAGAGATTATACAGTAATGGAACCTTTCACAGATGACATGTGATTGTTGTGTTCTGTGTCTATCCTTTTTTGGTTGCTCACTCATTCTGGTGTCATTAAAAAAAATTATACACACACACACACATCTCTCTATATATACATATATCTCCAGTATTTTGGGTTGTTTTCCCTTCCCTGTCTCTGAACTATTTTAAGAGATAAGAACCTGCTTTTATCATTCATTTATCTTTGAATCGTTGGTGCAATGAATAGTCTGAGTTGTTAATTTTTTTTGTTTTATGGCTTTTTCATTTTGATAAACTTAGGAAGTAATTCCTCCAAGTCTTAACTATAGGGTAGCCAATTAGAAAAGAGAAAGAATGTAGAAGCTAAGGGAAGTAGTATTAATTTAAATCATTAAAAACTCTTTGAGAGCCAGGCATCAGTGGCTCACACCTGTAATCATAGCTACTCAGGAGGCAGAGATCAGGAGGATTGCAGTTCGAAGCCAGCTTGGGCAAATAGTTTGTGAGACACTATCTCGAAAAAACCCAACACAAAAAAGAGCTGGTGGAATGGCTCAAGGTGTAGGCTCTTGAGTTCAAGCTCCAGTACTGCAAAACAAAACAAAACAAAACAAAAACACTTTGAGGGCTGGGAGTACAGCTTATTAGTAGAGTGCATGCCTAGCATGCATAAGGCCTTGGGTTCGTTTCCAGCACCGTAAGTAAATTAATGAATGAATTAATAAATAAAAACTTGATAATGTCAGCATCTGCAATTATTTCTTCCGTATTTGATTAACTCATGAAGTAATTTCATAAGGACCATTTGAAATTTTATGGTTTTATCTTGAATTTGAATGTTACTATGTTATCTAGAGAATTCTTTTATAAGATTTGCTTCATATGCAGGTTGCATTTATACTCACAGGAAATTGGTTTTTACTTTCTTTAAAGAAAACTGAACTGAAGAAAATGGTATTTTACCCAAGAAGACTGCTGGACCTGGATGACCTAAGATTGAAATGAATTGTGGAATTCACAGGAAAACCTTAGTTTGTGATGATTAGATTTCTTTTTTGTTGTCCAGTAGTTTGGTTTGTGTACATAAATACTTATATATTTTTTGCACTACACAAATGATAACATTTTAAGGACTAATAATATTGCTGATACTTGAATAATCAATCTCAACTAGGTTAAAGTAGCATACATAGATCTTCTCTACTCTTGAACTTGATGGACATAAATTATAATTATTGTTTGGTAACATGTTTACATGATTATCTCCTGTAGAGAAATATAAGCTGCTTTTCCAAGATTTAGTTGTGATCATGAGATCAGATTTGTAAGAATGCAAACCAAGAGTGAATTTCAAATGAGGTTAAGTTGATTTTACATTGGTCACCGAATTGCCATGACAATTAGTAGAAGAATCTTCGTTATGTTCACTTTGTAGACTGCACATAGTCTTCTTGGACATTCCTGACTCAGACTTGGTATTCAGGTGTCGTTACTGAAAATCAGAGCTCTTTATCCTAGGCTTAGTTTTTGCAAATGATTCACAGAACAGATGTAATCTGCATATGGAAATGATAAAGAATGGGCCTAATATAGGTTTAAAAGTATATTCTGAACCTGCAGATGAAAAATAAGACTTTAATTCAATCATATACTTTATTCCTTTGTAATCATTCTTCTTTAAGTGAGGATATCTAATGTTTGCTTCATAGGGTGCTTTGAAATATAAAATAAAAACTTATTTATACTGTTTTTACAAAGGTAAAAAAGGAAACATCTGAAAATCACTTTTCTGCAACTGGTGAACCACACTGACCGAACTCTTAACCTCTTAGTGCCTCAGTTTTTCCTTCGGGGTATTATATGTGTATGTACCTACTTCACAAGGGGTTGGAAGGATTTGAAAGCTACAGGCCATATGCTTCTATATATATAAGGCATGTATGACTAATGGAAATTTAAGTCCCTTTGCCCCATCCCTCATCTTTAGATAGAAAGGAAGATCCTTAAAGACCATATTTGGAAAACCATCCTTCTTGGATAGCTTCCCCAACTCCCTGCTCACCTTATTGTTCCTTGTGCTGTAACAATTTCTTTGATTTAAAGGCTTTATAGCAAATAATTAAGCATTCTTTTTTTTGTTTTTTTTTTTGTGGTACTGAGGCTTGAACTCGGCCTACACCTTGAGCTGCTCTACCAGCCTGTTTTTGTTATGGGTGTTTTTGAGATAGGGTCTCATGAACTATTTGCCCAGACTGGCCTTGAACCGCGATCCTCCTGATCTCTGCCTCTTGAGTAACTAAAATTACAGGTGTGAGCCACCAGCGCCCAGTTAAGCATTCTTGGTATGGATGATGTTGGGTTTACCCTTAGATATTCAGTATATTTTAAATAAGAGGCAGAGAGCTAATCCATTTCTAGTATACAGGGTGCATCTTTGAAGAAAAAAGTATGCGAATATAATTTGCTTTTCCCAAATGCCTTTTCTTTCATTATAATTTATGGTTTTTAATTTTTTGAAATCCCATCTTGACTAAAGTACATCTGTCTAAAAGTAATCTACTAATATTTACTTTAAAAAAATTGTCTCTACTTCTTTAGAAAAAAATGAAGCAAGTAACTAAATTATGTAGAAATAAAGTTTTAACCTGTGGATCAGGATTTGTTTTAAAAATGGTGGTTTTCTCTCACTCTATAAATAAATAAAATGCGAATTAAAAATGTAAAGAGTTGTAATTCATTACAAGCAGTCAAGGATAACTGTTTGTATCTTACTCTAAAAATTTATAGTTCAAAAAGCACTTTGCACACAGTTCTTGTATATAAAAGTAAAGATGTAATTATAGGGTATAGTGTTAATGCTTTGTTTAACAATAACCTCATTTTAAATTTTAAATTGACAGCTATGATATTTTTTTAATGATCAGCTTCTTTTCTGTTTATTGTAAAACTAAGTTAAAAATAAAAGGTTAATGAGAAATGATACGGCTTTTATTACTTGTTACTGTTAGTGGATTATGTTGTTTGAAGGATTAAATTAGAATAGTAGGAATTTATGTAAAGTAATCATGATTAAATTAAGCCACGCTATTATAAACAATTTGATACAAATCAGACTCACATAATTTAACTCATAGTTTTCATTTGGTTGAGAGTATTAGTGATCCAGTCAAAATCTTAATTTTAACTCTTATACCAAATACATAGCTTCCCACAGCCCCTCAATGAACTTTTTTTTTTTATTTGAAGTCTTTTGGCAGTACCAGTTTGAACTCAGCCTTACACTTGCTAGGCAGATGTTCTACCAATCTGCAGGCCCTTCTTAATGAAGTCTTAAACAGCATTGGTAAAAGAGTTTTGTGTTTAATATATACATAAATTATAACTTCTACAGATAGTGGTAAAAGTGATGTTAGTTACTTGTATCATTTAAGACATCAGTATTCTAACCTGGGTGTGATAGCACATGCCTGTGGTCCCAGCTAGTAGGGAGGCAGCGGTAGGAGGATTGCAGTTTGAGGCCAGCCTGGGCAAAAAGTTAAGTGTGAGACCCTATCTGAAAAATAAGTTAAAAAACAAAAGAGCTGGGTGGCTCATGCCTGTAATCCTAGCTACTCAGGAGGCAGCAATCAGGAGGATTGAAGTTTGAAGCCAGCCCAGGCAAATAGTTTGCAAGACCCTATCTGGAAAAAACTTACCACAAAAAACTGGGCTGGTAGAGTGGCTCAAGGTGAAGGCCCTGAGTTCAAGCCCCAGTACTGAAAAAAAAGCAAAAGTCTTGAGGGAATGATTCAAGTGACACAGTACTTGCCTATCAAGTGCAAGGCTGAGTTTAATCCTAGTACTAAAAGAAAAAAGAAAGAAATCCAACGACAGTGGCTTGATCTCATGTGTGAGAAGTCTAGAGGTAGGAATTCTGGAGCTTTCACAATGCGTTAGGAGCACAGGCTCCTCCTATCTTCTACCGTATTTAGTGAATAGATTTTCTCTTCTTGCCTGTAAGATTCTATGCATCTAGATTCACATTACGGAAGATGAAGCATGAAGGGCAGAAGATAATTCCCAGTTGTATTTTTCTGTGTAATTAGGAAATCAGTTAACGTTCTTGAAAGCCTCACATAAGGTGTACCTCACATCTTATTGGCTAGAACTGGGACTTATGTCTTTGTCTGTAAAAATATTATTTAAAGAATAAAATAATTTCAGTCTATATAATTTTATAAATATAATTTTGCCACATTCCTGGTAGGAAAGGCCATGTGTTTTAGCCTTTAATGCTCCTTAAGTTCTTTTCTTCTCAACTTGTTTTTCCTTTCTACTTTTGAGCTATTGTTCCCTTCCCCCCCATTTCTCTCTTTCCTAATGATACCACATTTTATAAGCTGGAAAATTATAAATGTCCTTTGTCTATTTAAAAATGAACAGGGGTTAGAGGTGGAGCTCAGTGTTGAAACACTTGATTACTATGTGTGAGGCTCTGGGTTTGATCCCTAGCACCATAATAAATAAATAAAAACAAAAGAGAAATTTCAATATATGTGAAAGAGGATTTTTTTTACCCATACATCTAATCAGGTGAGGGAGTAGCCATTATTTTTTTATTCTGCTTAGTATTCAACCCCCTTCTGAAATCAGCAGTCCTTCCTTTCTTCCTTTGGAAAGCTTTTCCTCCTTCACCTAGCGATTGTGGTGGGGATGCTAAATTGGATCACCCAGCTATCCCCATTCTTCCCCACCCACCCAAGCCACAGTAATGAGTATGCAACCCAAACTTTGCCACTTTATGACTGTTAGGAAAAATCCACTCACAAAGAAAGCTCAGGAGAAAAGCCTCACATACATAGAGCAAAGTTTAATGGCAGGCCCAAACTGCCAGGCTGGCTGGGGAAAGATGGCGCAGCAGCGGATCTGGGCCAGAAGTGGCTTTTATAGAAGGGGGAGGTTAAGGAAGTTAGCGCATGTGCAGCAGTCTCTGGTAGGGGTGGGGCTGTCTTAGAGCGCAGGAATTTGTCCTTGGGAGTTTCTCAAATGAGGTCTGAGGGTAAAATGGCCGCGGATTTATAAATGTGACATTATTGTTCTATCAATGACCCTTTGTCCTGACCACAGTGAAGATCCCAGGGATAGGCACAGGACCATCAAGGAAACAGGCAGAGTTATTCGTGGGATTTAGAAGAGAGAATATTCTTTTTCTCACTCTTTCTATATGTTTTCAAAAATTGCATATTTTTAAGAGCTATTTCAGGTTCATAGCAAAACTGAGTATAAAGTGCAGAGTCCCTGCACCATCCCCCTACTCTACCATGTCCCCCACAACCTCTCCCAATATCAACATCCTGGTACAGTGGTACATTTGTTACAATTGGTAAGCCAACATGGACACATCATTACATTAGGGTTCATTCTAGACCTTATACATTTAATGGGTTTTGACAAACAAAATGACGCATATTCACTGTTGACTATAATCCTTTCACTGCCCTTAAAATTCTCTGTGTAAATTAGCCTGTTGATTCTCCTCTGTTAACACCTGATCTGTCTCTGGCAAACAATGATTTTTTTACTGTCTCAGTAGTTTCCCTTTTCAACAGTGTCACATATTTAGAATCATATGGTATATAGCCTTTTCAGACTGATTTTCACTCAGTAATATGTACTATGTTCCATGTTTTTTCTTGGCTTAATGATCTAATTCCTTTTTGACACTGAGTAATATTCTATTGTAAGAATGTGCCAGAAGCCAGGTGCTAGTGGCTCATGCCTGTAATCCTAGCTACTCAGAAGGCAGAGATCAGGAGGATCTTTATTCAAAGCCAGCAAATAGTTTATGAGATTCTATCTCAATAATACCCAATACAAAAAAGGGCTGGAGGAGTGGCTCAAGTGGTAAAGAACCTGCTTAGCATTACAAAGCCAGGCATTTTGCTGCTTGAGCGATGCCTACAGCCATTTTTTTGTTTTGTTCTGTGTTTTTGAGATAAGAGTCTCACTCTGAAGCCCAGGCTGGTCCTAAACTCTCAACTCTCTGCCTCAGCCAACCAAGTACTGGGATTACAAGTATATATCCCCACACCCAGCCAACACAATAACAGCTTTATTCATTATTGTCAAAACTTGGGAGTAACCAAGATATCCTTCAAGAGGTAGGTGAATGAATCAACTCTGGCACTTTAAAAAAAAATTTTTTTGCAGTATTGGCACTTGTGGCTTTGTGGCCTCGTGCTTATTAGATAGGCATTCTACCTCTTGAACCACTCTGCAAGCCCTTTTTTGTGTTGGGCATTTTCAAGATAGGGTCTCATGAACTCTTTGCCTGGGTTGTCTTCCAACCTCCATCCTCCTGATCTCTGCCTTCTGAGTATCTATGATTACAAGCGTGAGCCACTGTGGCTCACACCACTTTAGACGAGGTCTTGCTGTGTAGCCTAGGTTGGCCTCCTGTCTCATTCTCTTGAGTGCTGGGACTACAATGTATACCATTTTGACCAACTATCTTTTGTGGGTTTTAGAAGTGCTGTGAAGAAATAGACACTGCAAAGATTTATACAAATGTATAGATTTCTTTTTTAACAAGCCAGTCTGTTTTAACATATCTTCTGGACACTATTCCTTTCCTGAAGGACTTTGCCACACTTTTCTCACCCACATGTGATAGAAGAATAATGTTGCCATTTATAAATCAGTGGCCACTTTACCCTCAGACCTCACTTGAGAAACTCCCAAGGACAAATTCCCGTGCTCTAAGACAGCCCCACCCCTACCAGAGACTGCTGCACATGCGCTAACTTCCTTAATCTCCCCCTTCTATAAAAGCCACGCCTGGCCCAGATTCGCTGCTGTGCCATCTTTCCCCAGCCAGCCTGGCAGTTTGGGCCTGCCATTAAACTTTGCTCTATGGACATGAGGCTTTTCTCGTGAGCTTTCTTTGTGAGCAGTGTTTTTCCTAACATTTGGTGCCATGACTCGGATCGGATGTGTTGCCAGCACTGACCTTGCTCTCCCAGCCTCCCCAACCCTATCCCTCTCTCTCTCCCTCAACCTCCATTCCCTTCCTCCAGGATCTGAGCTGCTTTGCTGGGACCCCCCGATCCTAGAAAGCGCTACTCCTTTACAGCTCACAGGGAAGTTCCTCTGCCCCAGCGTGCCTCCAACTGCCATCCACCACTGGCCAATCTTCCCTCAAGGTCCCCTCTCTGGGTGAGTCCTT